GCCCATCGAAGGCGCCGTGTTGGTGCGGTCCTGGGCCACGCGCGACGCGGGTGGCGCCCGACCCCGGAAGCTGTCTTCCACCTCGCCCGCGGCGTCGGCCTCTTCGGCTTCGGCCATCATCTCCTCCATCGAGCGCTTGGTCCGGATCATTGGCGTGGCAGAGGGGTCCGCCGTGTACTCGTCGTACTCGACGGCCACGGGCGCCTTGGCCCGCTTGCCTTTGGCCGCCGTAGCCGTCGAGGCTGCCGTGGCCGCCTTGGTCTTCGCGCCCTTCTTGGCGGTGCTGCTCTTCTTGGCAGGGGCGGGTGCCTCGTAGTCGTCATCGGGTAGCTGCTCGCTGCCGTAGTCGCTCGCCGCGTCGCTCAGCTCATTGTCGTCGCGGTAGCTTGGCTTCCTCTGGCTCTGCTTGCTCGACGCGACGAGCGCGGCTCGGGCCAGCGCCGATGGGGCCGACGCCTTCTTGACCTTCCTCGCCGCCTTGTGCGACGGGCTGCTCAGAGGAACTTCGGCTTCCGAGGGCACCGCGTCGCTCGCTCCCTGCATCGGATCCCGCCGAGCCTTGGCCAACGGTCCCTTCCGTTTGGTGCCCTGCGCCACCGGAGCCGCCGCCAGCGATTCGTCTGATAGTGCGTCGGCCTCGTCGTCGAGGTGTGCCGCAGGAGCAGCTGACCGCTTCTTCGCAGCCTTCGGGACCTCCGATTGAGCCAGGGACTCTTCCAGCTGTGGCAGTGGAGAGGGGCAGCGTCCGCGACAGTATCGAGGGTCAGTGACTATGATCGGCGTGCCCGCGTCGAAGCGCGGCCTTGTCTCGAGAGTGCCGCGATGCTCACCTGCGCCTCGAGCTCTCGGATCTGGGCCTGCATCTCCCTTCTCTCCTTCTTCCACGCCTTCCTCGTCTCGGCCATCATCTCCTCCCTCTCGACGTACGTGGCGATGTCCTCCTGCATCTCTGCGTTGTCGCGCCGGAGCTCCTCGAGTTCCTGCGTCTGCTTGGGCGTCTTGGAGGACGCTGCGGCAAGCTGCTTGCGAAGGTCGCTGGCCTCGGTTCGCAGCGACTCGACGTCCGCCTGCAGCACTTCGACCTCGGACGAGAGGCGCTCGTTGTGGCTGCGAAGGCTCGAGTCGTCGCCGGCGCGGGCCGAGAGCCGCTTTCGCAGCTGCACCGTCTCCCTGAGCTTGCCCTTGAGCTTGACCGCCAGCACGTCGCTGCGTTTCCGCTCGGCCATCAGGCGGATCCGCAGGTCGTCCTTTTCCATCAGCAGGTTCGCCTCAATCTCCTTGGCGCGGTACGACTCGTAGGTCGTCTCGTTCCTGCAGTAGACCAGATCCGACTCGAGCTCGGTGAAGTTGCGCTTCTCGCACAGCAGCCTCCACTGCCGCTCGTCGGCGTCGAGCTTGTGCTGCACAACCTTGGCCTCGAGCTCCAGCGTCGCCCTGTGCACCTGCGTGGCCTCATCCTCGAGCTGCGAGCGTAGCCGGGCCACGTCGTCCTCGAGCCGGGCCGCCTCGCTGGCCCAGCCCTCGGACTCCTCCATGGTCCTCCGTTGCTGGTCTTCGGACACCTCGAGCTTCTCGGACAGCAGCTTGACCTTCTTCTTTGCCTCGGCGAGCTCCAGGCTCATCAATCGATCCGTCCGCGCTGCTGGATCGAGGCGCCGTTTCTGTGCTGAGGCGCTGACCGTGCTCTCGTCGCCAGCCTGGCTGGCAGGAGCTCCATTGACCGCCACTGACGGCACACCGGGCACGCTGAAGCCGGAGAGGTGGTTGATCTTGCGGGTACCGGCCTGCGGCGTCGCCCTTGGCGTCGACTGCATCGGCACCGGCGGCGGGGCCATTTTGGCGGGCTGAGAGGCGGGCAGCGCGGGCATTTTGAACTGAGGTCGCGGCAGCTGAGACGGAGGGCCCATCGAGCTTGAGACGGAGCGGCCGGCGACTGATGCCTCGCCACGGGCCGCGATCGGGGGCTGGGCTTTGGGCGTAGGCTGCTGGTCCTCGACGTCGATCCCACCCTGGCCTGAGCGGTCCTGCCCTCCGTGCTCCAAGTTAGGCGCTGCAGAGGCTGCATCGTCTATGGGTGGCGGCAGAGGTCGCGCTGACTGCTTCGAGGGCGGAAGGATGGCGTCCCCTCGGAGCGTGTCGTCGCCGCTTCGGCTGTAGCTGCGGCTGGCGTCGCGCGACATTTCGCCGTCGTCGGCATCCTGGCTGACGGGCACCGGCAGCGGCCGTGATTCGCGCCGCATCTCTTTGCGCGAGGCTGCATTGAAAGGATCGATGCCCTGCTCGAGATACTTGGAGAAGTCGTAGCCGGACGAAATGGGTCGGTCTTCGCCGTTGCGACGGCTTCTCTGGCTCGCAGTCGACAGGTCGGCTCCGGCAAAGGGAGGATCGACTGGCTCCTGCGCGGGCGTGCTCGCGACCATGCTGCTTCTGCTGCTGCGGGTTCCGACGTCGCTGCTCCGCTTCGATGTCGATGGCCGCCGGAGCATTGGCAGCTTGCCGCTCTCCAGGTCGATCGAGATGTTGGCGCTGACGGCGCCGTTGGGCCCGGCAACGAGGGCGTTGGAGGTGTCGTTGCTGTCATCGCCTGTCGAAGTGCCACCATGGGTGCCTGCCTGCTGGCTCTGTGCGCGGGCATGGGTGACGGCTGTGGGGGTCTCGTCACCGGCGCGCTGCCGTGCAGCCTCGATGGCGGTCAGGCTGCTCCTCCGCGTGACGGGTCCCTGACTGAGGCTGGTACGCGCCTTGTTGGGCCTGGGCAACGACGACGGCACCTGCACCGTGGTCGACGACGAAGGCATCGGCCGGGAGCTGCTCGAAGTCGAGGCTGTGTAGGTACGGGATGCGCTGGCGCTCGATGACGAGGTGAAACTGGTGTTTCTCCCGTTGGATTCGTTCTTCTGCCTCTGCACCTGCGCCATCTCGTCGAGGCTGGGGAAGTCGTCTGCGGGAGGCGGTGGTGGCCGGCGGAGGCCGTGCTGCGAGGTGTTGGGGGTGGCGGTGGGCAGGGACGGGTAGAGAGATGTGTGCTGCGAGGGTGTCGAGGGTACAGATGCGTTGGGCAGGCTGCCTGGCCGCATAGAGATGGATGTGGAAGCGTCGGCGTTGAACGACGAGTTGGGCTGCTGGCTGTGCTCGATGCGCGGTTTTGGCAGCGCCAGAGGGCCTTGCCGCGCGACCGGTGGCGGGCTGCGGAAGATGACCATGGTAGCAGGTTGCGTTCCGCGTCAGGGGTCAGGACGCCTGGTCTTGCCGATAGATAGGGGTACAGTGTCGGATGGATGGGGAATAAGGTCGGACGAGGCTGCGACGAGGACGGCGACGGCAAGGGGGTGGGGGTATGTCTGGTGTTGTTGTCGTCTTGCGGCGGGTTGCGCGCTGTGGTCCGTTGTCCGGGTGATGGAGAGATATGGGCGCCGTGTAAAAGGAAGCCGTGGCGGGCTGGCAACGGTCCGATGATGTTGTTGATGGTGATGGTGGGACGAGGCAGGTGGCAGGTGGAGGCAGACGAAGGCCGTTGCTGCTGTGGCTCGTACGCGTGTTGTCGGTTGCTCGGTGGCTGCGTTGCTTGCCGTTGTTGGCTTGCTTCCCGCCTTCCGCCAGGTCTCAGACAGGGTCGCCCGGTGTTGGACAGCTCCCTCGTCCCTGCCTGCCTGCTTTTTCCACTCGACTCGACGTGTTTTGGTGCGAGCGCGTTCCAAGTCAGGCGCGCCGGACAGCCTGACGCTGCTGCCTCCTCTCGTTTTCATTTGTTATTTCGCACGAGAGCGAAAAACCCACAATCGGTGGAGCGAGCGCGGCCTTCACCCAAGCAGCGAAGCGAGCGGTTTTTTCGAAGCTCTCTCTTTTTTTGAGAAGGCCGCACCCGCTCGCTGCCACGGCCAAGCCGCCGTGCCCGCCTGACTCGAAGCCGACTCATGGCCGCCATTGCCATCGTTCACCACCACCATCGGCCACTTCTCACCCCTAGCCACGCACCCTTGCTGCTCAGATCCAGTCGGACAGAGGGTAGACCCATCGGCGTGCACACATCCTCGTATACACACGGATCCATAGAATCGGCCTCGCCCTCGCTCGACCACCTACACCATTCCGCCCACCACGCTGCTTTCGCGTGCCTTCCCTGCATCGACTCGCCTCGGCCTCGCCGCACTACGCAGCACCCAGGCGGCACCCCTTCTTCAGCTGCAACCTCAACTGCCATCGCAGCAGCTTCCTATCGCTCAGCGCAAGCTCCCCCCGTCGACCCTTGCACCACTCCGCTGCTACTACAAGATGGCCGCCAGCGTCAATAGCTCGAGCAGCAGCAGCGCCAACAGCGTGCTGGCGCCCTCGCCCGCCTCGTTCAACGGCATCCCCCTCCTCGCCCAGCTGCCTCAGCTTCCCCAGTTGCCCGGCACAGACACCAAGCGAGCGCCCCTCGACTCGTTCAAGATCGCCATCGCCCAGCACGTCAACCAGACCCTCGGCATCGACGTCGAAAAGGCCATCGAGGGCGTCGGCCCGGGCAAGGTCGGCGACTTCACCGTCGCCGTGCCCCGCTTCCGACTGCCTGGCAAACCAAACGACCTGGCCGAAAAGGCCGCAAAGGAGTTCCAGCCCAACGAGTGGCTCGAGGCCGTCGAGAACAAGGGCGCCTTCCTGCACTACACGCTCAACTCCGAGACGCTCAAGAAGATCACGCTCCAGACCATCCACGTCATGACCCACGGCTTCGGCGCGCCCCGCAACGACGAGGGCAAGCCGCTGCCCTCGTACGGGTCCAACCGCAACGGCGAGGGCAAGCGCATCATTGTCGAGTTCTCGTCGCCCAACATTGCCAAGCCCTTCCACGCCGGCCACCTCCGCAGCACCATCATCGGCGCCTACCTCGCCAACCTCTACCGCGCCAACGCGTGGGAGGTCAAGAAGGTCAACTACCTGGGCGACTGGGGCAAGCAGTTTGGCCTGCTCGCCGTCGGCTGGAAGCTGTTTGGCGACGACAAGAAGCTCGAGGAGGACGCCGTCAACCACCTCTTCGAGGTCTACGTCAAGGTCAACCAGCTCGCCTCGGAAGAGGGCAAGGGCGAGAAGATCCACGACGAGGCGCGCGCCTACTTCAAGGGCATGGAGGACGGCGACGAGGAGTGCCTGGGCTACTGGCGCAAGTTCCGCGAGCTGTCGATCAAAAAGTACATCGAGGTCTACGACCGCCTCAACATCCAGTTTGACGTCTACAGCGGCGAGTCGCAGGTGACCAAGGCCAACCTGGAAAAGGCCATGTCGCAGCTGCGCGAGACCGACTTTGTGTCGCGCGAGGAGAACGGCGCGCTGCTGGCCGACCTGACCAAGTACAAGCTGGAAAAGTGCGTCATCGAGCGCAAGGACGGCACGCCGCTCTACATTACCCGCGACATTGCCGAGGCGGCGCAGCGGTGGGAGGCGTTTGGCGGCTTTGACAAGATGATCTACGTCGTGGCGTCGCAGCAGGACCTGCACCTGGGCCAGTTTTTCAAGGTGCTCGAGCTGATGGGCTACCCGTGGGCGCAGAAGGAGGCGGGCAAGCTGGTCCACGTCAACTTTGGAATGATCCTGGGCATGTCGACGCGGCGCGGCACCGTCGTCTTCCTCGACCACATCCTCGACGAGACGGCCGACAAGATGCACGACGTGATGCGCGCCAACGCGGAAAAGTACGCCCAGGTCGAGGACCCGGAGCGCACCGCCGACATCGTCGGCATGACGGCCGTCAAGATCCAGGACATGAGCGGCAAGCGCATCAACAACTACAACTTTGACTGGTCGCGGATGCTGTCGTTCGAGGGCGACACGGGCCCCTACCTCCAGTACAACCACGTGCGGCTGTGCTCGGTGGAGCGCAAGGTCAAGGACGCCGATGGCCTCGAGCTGCCCACCGAGTCGCTCGACTTTGAGAGCATCAAGACGGAGCTCATCACTGAGCCCAAGGCGCGCGAGCTGGTGCTGCTGCTGGCGTCGTGGCCCGACGTGGTCAAGACGGCGTGCAAGGACCACCAGCCGAGCACCGTCGTCACCTACTGCTTCCGCCTGACGCATCTCGTCAGCTCGTGCTGGGAGTTCCTGCTGGTCAAGGGCCAGGAGCGCGACCTGGCCCTTGCTCGCCTCTGGCTCTTCCGGTGCTGCAAGGACGTGCTCGGCAGCGCGCTCAAGCTCCTCACCATTACCCCGCTCGAGCGGATGTAGGCGCCGCCGCCGCCGCCGCCGCCGTATCCCGCCCGCCCTGTCGTGTCGCTCGTCTTGCGCCCTTCCCTGGCCGTAGTAGCCTCCCCAGCGCCGCGGCGTGTGAAGAATCGTATGGCGTCCCCGAACGCAAGCAGAGGCAGGGTCAGCCTTTCCTGCTCAGAAGACATGCCGAGAACCGCGCGCCTCCCGTCTGTGTGCGAAAGACGGAGCAAACCTTGCTTGATGCTGGCCACTGATGCAGGCCGTGGTCCGAAGGTTGAGCTTGTTTGTGAGCGGCTGGTTTTCGGTCGTGGTGCCGGTGGTCGTCGGAGCCTGCAGGCAGGGTCGTCGCCACGCCTAGCCAGCCGCGTGCGGGCAAGCAAGCAAGCTAAGCATAAGCGGTCCCGCCTGCCTCGCGCCGTGCCCAGCCGCGTGACTGACCCTGGCGTCTGCCTCAGCTGAACCCGCACTGGCCCGTGGGGTCGTTGCGCATGTGGGTCGACTGGGTTGGGCATCGAGCGAGAGGCAGAAAGCCAAGCAAGCCAGCCAGCGCAAGCTGAAGTCGCAGGCTAGGCAGTCAGGCAGATGCACGGCCGCGACGGCGGGGCGCCGCTGACTCTGCTTCATTTCGGGAGGGTCCGAGCACGGACGGACCGGCCGTGCGTGGCGGCGCGGATCAGGCTAGGCTAGGCCACGCGCGGGCGGGGCTGGGTCTCGGCTCGGGCTGGATGCGCGACTCAGCTTGGCTTGGCCGGGCCTGGGCTGGTCTGGTCTGGCCTGACCCAGCAGGCTGGATCAGCTGGCTTGGCCCACTTCATTTCACAGCCTTGCCGCCGCCGACGCCGACGCCGCCACCGCCGAGAAGAAGGTCCAAGGCCCGTGCTTCTCTTCCCGCCTGCTCGCCTGCTCCCCTTTCTCTCTCTTCTCCGCCACCACCATCCTCTCTCCATCACCTTCCACCATCCCCTCATCGTCTCTTGCTCTCTTGCTCACGCCGCTCGACTACCGTACCGAGCATCGCCATCCATTGACTCTACCTCTGCAACCCCTTTTTCCCCGATCGCGGCAGCGCGCTTGCGCCTTTAGCACGCTTGTCGACAGCCAGCTCGTCCTTTTCTTGTCCAGCCGCTCCCGCCGAGGCGACGGCTCACGCTTCGCGCCTTCGGTCCGGGATGGGACCCAAATGCAGCCGCAAAGAGACGGCGACGGCCAAGGCCCCGGCTCAGGTTGCTCCCGCCGAGCCGGTCGCCAATATGCAAGCCACCGGTGACACGGGCCCGAGGCAAGACGCGCCGACGGCTTCCCAGCAGGTCGGATCTGCCAAGCAGGAGCTACCGACCTCCTCCGCCACCACCGCCGCTACCGCCGCCACTGTCGCCACCACCATCGCCCCCATCACCTCCGTCACCGTCCAGACCCCCGCCTCGGAGCCCCCCAAGAAGCTCTTCTTCACCTTCAAGCGACGCCGCTACTACGAGGACGTGTTCGCCGAAGTGATTGACGTGGTCAGCGGATTCGCATACCTCGTCACCGAACAGCAGAGGAAGCAGTACCTCGCGTACGCCGCCAAAAAGAGGAAGTCGGCCAAGCAAAAGTCGACCACGAGCATGAGGCAGCACACCGAGGCCGTCAACCGCCTCACCGAGGCCGGCGGCAGCAGAGCGCCCCGCGCCAGGAAGAGAAAGGTCAACGGCAACTTTTTCGACGATTACGAGGACGACGAAGAGTCGAGAGAGATTGACGCCGACGAGGCCATCCTGGGCAAGAGGGTCGGATCGGCGCAGGGCTGGATTTTCCACCAAGACGCGCCGCTCATGAGGTCGCCGCAGCGCTTCGAGGCCATGGACTGCGTCGACCAGGAGACGCTCCAGATGGCCATCAGGCTGTTTGGACCCAATAACACGTCCAAGGTGCCGGCCTGCCCGGGCATCGCCGACGGCTCGCTGCTGGTGCTGCACTACGTCCGCCTCGCCCCAGAGTTCCGGGGTCACGGCTACGGCATGCGCCTCTGCGCCGAGCTGCTGCGCCACTGGCAGCCTTACTGGAGCAAGGCCATCCTGCTGCCCCTCATCCTCAATCCGGACCGCGACGGCAAGATGGGCGCCGAATACCAGGAGGCCAACCGCCGCCTCAGCGCCGCCTTCCAGAGGATCGGCTTTGTCCCCCTCGGCTCGACCGACTACCTCTACCAAGAACAGGCCGGCTTCGACGAGCGATACCGCAACTTCGACGTCAGGCGCAACACCAACGCCGACGTCGCGCCGAACCTGTGCATGTGCGTCGACGGCGTCAGCGAGCGGATGCGCCACGCCATCAAGATTGCCGCCGAGGCAGAGTACGTCAGCCTGCGCGAGAGCGTCGAGATTGGCAACCGCGACATGAGGCAGCTCGGCATCTGCTACTCGCACGCCTTCCTGCCGCCCACGTCGGCCGACAACATGGCGCACCTCAAGGGCCTGCTGCATATCGCCGGCACCATCGGGACGCTGAGCCACCAGGCCGTCGCGCCCAGCCCGGCCAACGTCGCCGCGGCGCTCGAGCACGACGCCTTCTTCAACTTCATCGACCCGGACGGCGCCGTCCTGTGCCGCGCCTTCCTCGGCCAGGGCGGCAGCATCCTCGACGCCCTCGACCTGCTCCTGTACAAGGCCCGCAGGAAGGTCGAGCTCAACTTTGAGCGCGACCTCTACGAGCTGCCGGGCTGCGAAGAGGATCCAGCCACCAACGCCTATCTCGCCTGCCACCTGCCCAAGTGCGCCGAGCACGACGACGACTTTGAGGGCCTGCGCCAGCGATGGTGGAGGGACGGCGGCCGGTCCGCCCACCAGCGCGGTCCCTACCGCGCCGTGCCCCTCAGCTACGCCGAGGGCCTCGACGACTACGACTACGACTACGACTCGGACGACGAAGAGCTGATTGGTGGCGTGCCCGCGCGCGTGTGGTCGATGTACCTGCTTGAGAGTGGGCAGATGCCACGCGTCGGCACCCTCGACAGACTCTGAGCAGGCAGGCAGGCAGGCAGGACGGCCCTCGACCGAGAGGGGGTGAACACCGACTTGGCGCAGTCCCGCGCGAACAGGCCCGCGGCCGGCGCCAACGAAGCAGAGCAGCTCGCGGGCCAACAAAAGCGAAGGCAAAGCGGCACAGCGCCGCAGCAGAACCGATCCGACAAACACGGGCTCCGAAGGTCAAGCCCACCATCGAACCAGTACCCGGGCAATGCGAGCATGATCAGGCGATCGAACGAGCAAGTCAGCAAGCAGGCATCATCGAGCGGGGGCAGCAGTCAGCACATGGCGGCGCGAGATGGCGGATCCGGAGAGCATCGCATCGCATCGCCCCGCAACGCAGCTGGGCGAGGCGTGCATCGAACGTCGAAAAGGAGGGGCTGCGTAGCCGCTACCACACCTTGTCCGTGTTGAATCATCGAAGCCGACTGCATGGATAGGAAGAGGTATTCTGTTGTTTCGCCCGGCGTGCAAACTCGCAATCCCATGCTCGCCTCTGCATTCTTGGCTGTGCACGGCGTCGTCCATTTCCATCTTGTCGCATCCCGCAGCATCGCTCACGTCGTCGTCGTCGCCTGCTGTTGGTCGAGCTGCTTCCTCAGTCCCTCTTCAACGCCCCTCGCCGTCTGACCATGGACCTGATCGACGGTAGATAGGATAAAGGCGAGAAAGAAGAAGAGGGCACGGACCTCAAACTCCTCCTGCAGTATACACGACGCTTCCTGCTGATGCTGCTGTTCCTCCGCTCCCTGTGTTGCTGTGGATGACGGTGGATCGAGGACGTCGAACCGACTTGTAGTAACCGTACCCATACCGGCTTGGGCGCTGCCCACGATCCCGGCGGCGGTACGTGTAAACGTCGCCGTGTACCGCGTGTAAAATGTGAGGCCCAGGAAGGACAGTGAGGCTTTCACTGTGGAACCCCACGGTTACGGCTTGTCAGCCTACCACCATCGACTGTTCTACGATGATGATGAGGCAAAGGACGCACCGTGCCAAAGTCCGTCCTTTTTGGGATCCTCGCTCGTCTCAACCACATCCGGGTTGCAGCGTATCAGGTTCGACGGTTGTTGGATGTACGACCGTACCGTCCCAGCCGGGAAGGGAAGCGTGTGTGTAAATGTACGTTTGCGCGTTTGGAACAGCATCGTAGACTGCCGTGTGGAGGGATGGGTGAAGTTGAATAGGAAGGGAGTTAGAGCGGGTGCATGGTGGCGAGCAGGCTGGGTCGACGGCATCGAAGAAGGCTTGCTTCTCGCCAAGCTCGACCGAGGAGTTCGGCAGAGCTTGCAATTGGTGCTGTGCTTGCCCCGTGCGCGCCCCCAGCCCAGCAAGGGTTCGGCTGTGGAGGTGCGTGCGGTGTCCGCGTCCCGACGCGCAGGCGTGCAGTCGCCTACCTGCCTGCTGGCGGGCGGGCGAGCGAGAGAGCGTTTGCGTGCAGGGAGCTGTGTCTATCAATCTTTCGATGGAGCATGGTGGACTGGTGGTGGTAGTATACATGTGATGATTCGGGACGAGACAGAGACAGATCGATTGAAAATGTGTGTAGTCGCAGAACAGGCCCTTCAAGACGCCGCCACCGAGAGGAAGAAACAAAGACCGCCAGATCGCGCGAGGGCGCATCAGACGGCGACGAGGAGCGCCTCGACGGCGCCGCGGAGCAGATCGAGGGCGTGGAACGACGCAATGGCCTGGAGGTTCCTGAGCTTGCGCACCGTCTCCTTGCGCGTCACCATGAGGCCGTAGCTGCCCGAGCAGTCGCAGTGGGGCTGCAGCGAGTCGTCCTTGAGCACGCCACACCGGTTGCACCGCAGGTCCTGGAGCGTGAACGAGGCAATGTAGCCGTGGGCGATGTCGACCAGCCGCGTCTCGATGGCGGTGCGGTCGTAGGGAAACGAGCACTTGCTGCACCGCCACTCGCGCCGCTTGCCCGGCTCCGACGGCATCAGGTCGGCGTCACGGCACAGGTCGAGGGTGCGATCGTCGTTGCAAAACTGGCAGATGACGAGCGGCAGCCGGAACGGCTCGCACGGGTTGCGCCACTCTGCCTCGGTGCTGAACTCGCGCACCCCGATCAGGTCGAGCAGGTTGCGCTTGCACACCTGCGCCTCGACGGCGTGCTCCTTGGACAGCGCCAGCACCGCCGTCACGCTCTTGACAAACTCGAGCAGCGGCGACGTCATCTTGACGTGGCTCGCACCCGGCAGCTCCGGGAAGCTCCACCGCGCCTTGTGCTGCGTCGAGAGCATGTCGATGTACTCGTCGTCCTCCTCGGCCGCCGTGGCCGCACTGATCTCGGCCGTGCCGCGCGCCATGTCCTTCTTGACCTCCTCGACCACCCGCAGCAGCTTGCGCGTCATGTTGTGGTTGATTAGATCCTTGGAGAACTTGGACTCCCTCGCCTTGACCGGATCCACCGGCTGCAGGGCAGTCGAGCTCGGCAGCTCGGCCTCGCCGCCGTTGCCGTTGCCGTTACCGCTGCCGCTGCCGCCGCCGCCGCCGTCGCCGTTGGCCGCGGGAGGATTTTGGATCTGCTTGAGCGGCGTGCGGTCCAGCAGGCCGTCGGTGTGGGCGCGCCGCTTGTTTTCGTACAGCTGGAAGATGAAGCTGCCGACGGCATTGCTGAAGCGCTCCTGCAGCGCCGGCGGCAGGAACGTCTGGATGTTCCAGTTCATCTCGACGCTGAACGACGCCGGCAGCTCCTCGGGGCTCTCGGGGTCCGCGCAGACACCGCCAAAGTTGGCCGTGTCCATCCATAGCAGGTACTCCCAGTAGTGGACCAGGTCGAGGCGGATGTGCTTGAACAGCTCGCGGCTCGTCACGGCGCTCATCAGGTAGCGCGCGTAGGCGGCGGCGCTGCCGGCGGTCGGCTTGTTGGTCAGCAGGAAGAGGCGGTTGAAGCTGGCATAGACGATGCTGGCGCCGAGCCGCTTGAACTCGGCCAGCAGCTGCAGAAGCGTCTTCTTCATCAGGTCGTGAAGGAAGCGCTGCAGCGCCGGCTCAAACATGGCCGAGGTGCTGTTGGACGCCCAGCGCCAGAAGTTGTCCGACAGCAGCGAGCTGTAGGGAGAGCGGCCGCGCGCCTTGTCGACGTGCCACGCCTTGACCATGGCCTTGACGGCGGTGAAGACCTGCGACGTCAGCACCGAGTCGCCCAGCACCGTCGACGACTCGACCGTGCCGCGGCTGTACTCGTCGAGGTTGTGCGACGAGGTGTCGAACGCCATCGATCCGGCACCGCTGCCCTCCATCTCGTTGACCGAGCCCGACTGCAGCACGGCGTCGACCGCCAGGTCCGTCAGCGCCACCTCGAGGCAGACGTTGGAAAAGCAGCCGGCGTGCGAGATCTCGAGGCCCTCGCGCTCGTCCCACCGCTGCAGCGCGTTGATGTCCTGCTCGCGCCCGCCGAGGTCCGGCTGCGGGTTGTCGGACCACCAGAGCACCATGTCCTGCTTGACCAGCCGCCGGGCAAAGTCAATGTCGCTGCCAAACACGGCAAAGTCGCGCTCGACGTTGCACAGCGGCACGTCAAAGTGGGTCGCCAGCTCGATCCAGCGGCTGATCCAGAGCGACGTGCGGAAGTAGCAGTTGAACATCCGGCGCGCGCTGTAGAGCTGCCAGCCGAGCGCCGGCAGTTCGTCTTCGAGGCGGGCCGCCGGGATCGTGATGATCGGCAGCTCGGCCACCTGGCTCATCTTGGCCTCGTAGTACTGCTGGTCCTTGGACGTGCAGATGGCCAGCATCGCCGAGCCCTGCTTGGCCGTGCGCAGCGTGGTCAGATCCCGCCCGAGCGCGCGGAAGGCGCGCGCCTCGGTCGTGTGCACCTTGACCTCGACGTCGAGCGCATCGCCGTACTCGAAGACGCCCGCTCCCTCGGGCAGCTTGCCCTTCTTGCGCATGTGGGCGACGCGGTCGGCGTACATGGTCTCGAGGTTGGGCAGCTGGCGCAGGCCGGCCGAGTCGACAATGTGCACCTTGAGCTGGCCCTCGGGCGTGAAGAGGCCGAAGACGTGGCGCCCGTCGCGGTTGGCATGGTAGAGGTAAAAGTAGCGCAGGTTGCGGCCCCCGCCGAGGTAGCGGTGGCGCAGCAGATCGACCGAGCTGGGGCTGACCAGATCGGCCAGCTCGAAGCCGGCGTCGAGGGCGCGGCTGAGCTTGTTCTGGCCCGCGCCGCCGCTGCGGTTCATGGTGCAGGTCGAGCCGAGCTGGATGAGCGCCCGCACCTCGAGGGGCACGCGCATCTCGTAGATGCCGTCGACGTTAGCGTGGTTGAGGAGGGCGGAGAAGTGCGCCTCCTCCTCGAGGTAGACGTCTTCGGGCACCGTGATGCGGAAAAGGTGGCGGCAGGGCGCGCCGCGAGGCAGCGTGCGGACCAGGCTCTCGACGCGGTAGCTGTCGGCAAACGTGCCGGCGCGGGGCATCTGCTTGAAGTTGACATAGAACTGGCGCGGGACGCGGAGCTTGAGGCTCTGCAGGTGCTGGTCGATCGAGATCCACAGGCGGAACTCGCCCGGTCGGTTGGTCGGGCAGATCTGCACCACGTCCCAGGTGGCGGTGGCCATGCTCATCGACCGGCGCGAAAACAGCGAGCCGACCGCGCCCTTGCCGGCCGCGCGCGAGCCCGCAGAGAGGCCGCCGCCCATGCTGGCCAGCTCCTTGCGCTCCCGGGCGCGCTGCTGCCGGCGCTTGCGCCACCTGACCTTCATCGCGGCGACCCATCCGGGATAATCGTCGTCCATGTCCGGCAGCGGCGGCTCTGGCTCGATCTCGGCCACGGGGATGGGACGCACGTCGGCCGGTGCGGCGATCGCCACGGGGCTGCCGTCGGCCGCCTCCTCGATCACCTCGGCCTGGACCTCGGTGATCGGCTTGTCGCTGCCGGCTCGGACGGTGGCGAGCCCGGGCTTGGCCGGCTTGAAGACGTCGGTGAGCTTCTTCTGTTTGAACTTGTCCTCCTTGGCGGCGACGCGCTTGAAGAGCCAGTCCGGGTGCCGGACGCGCGGCACCGGGTTGATGACCTTCTGCATGGCGGCGGGGATGGTGATGAGCTTCTGGATGACGCCGCCGAAGCGCTCGATGTAGTAGTCCCAGTCGAGGATGCTGCGCAGGTCAAAGTCGGTGATGCTGTTGTCCTTGAGGAACTTCTTGAGGTAGTGGTGCTTGACGCTGGTCTCGGCGTTGAAGATGGCGACGGGCACGGCGCGCTCAGTGACGGGGGCGCCGAAGGGCTTGGCCGACACGATGAACTTGCACGCCAGGCCCTTGTCCTTGATCATCTGGGCGCCGAGGAACTCGGCCAGCCGCTTGGCCGTCGTGATGGCCGTCGACTTCTGCGCGCCGTACTCCTGCAGCGTCTTGGACATGCTCTTGTTCTCGGCGATGAGGTCGATGAGCTCCTCGTCGTGGAGCGTCGAGCCCTTGCTGTAGAGGACGTCGAGCCACTGGTTGGCCACCTTGGCGACGGCGGCGTAGCACTCGTCGAGCGTGGTGCCGAGCAGGAACTTTTCAAAGATCTGCTTCTGGAAATCCTTGATCAGCTGCAGCTCGCCGCGGCGCTTGACCTCGAAGCCCTTGAGCTCGGCGAGCGAGCCGTCGTGGTTGAAGACGGCGTAGCGCTTCTTGAGCAGCTTGTCCTCCTCCTTGCTCGAGGGCAGGATCATGGCGCGGTACGGCCCGTCGAGCTCGAAAAAGATCGAGTTCTCGCTGCGCACCTCGTACCGGCCGCTCTCCTTGTCGACGAGGTCGTGGTACTGGTGGTTGGTGAACTTTTCGTGCACCAGGTGGTTGAGCATGGTGCACGGATACGAGATGCCGAATTTCTTGCCGTTGCGGCACCGGAATTCGAAGTTCTCCGGGAACACGCCGGGCAGCATGCACCAGATGCCGTCGGTGTCGAGCTCGAGCGGGCGACCGATGCGGTCGACGAGGTCCTTTGCCAGCTGGATGATGGTGGCGCCCGTGAGGCAGGTGACACCGGCCATCTCCATCGAGTACCAGCGCGCGCCCTTGCGCATGACGTAGCCGTAGAACGAGTTGAGGATGCACTTGTGCGCCAGCTGCAGCGAGTCGTAGAGGACGATCATCTTCTTGGCCTCGACGGTCTCGTTGAGCGACGCGGCCTGGTCGAGGTTCTTTTTCCACGTCTTGTGCAGCCCCTTGTACTCGTACCGGCGGTCGCGGAAGTCGCGCACCGTGTTGATGTAGAATGGATTCTCGCGCTGGCAGATGACGGCCTCGCGGACGACCGTCTTGGACTCGTGCGTCTTCTTGTAGACCTTGCGGCTGTAGTCGCCGAGCCGCTTGTGCAGCAGCGCCGTCCGCTCCGCCTGGCCGAGGTCGTCGAACGTCCTGCGCGGGCCGCCGGCAAACTTGGGCGGGAACGTCTCGCTCGACAGGGCGTTCTTGATCATGTTGACCTCGTCGCGCTTGGCGGGGAAGTACTCGCCACGCCACGCCCAGTTCATCCGCCGATCGCACTTCATGCCGGGCCGGTTGTAGTCGCACGTGGCGCACATGGCCTCGCTGACGACCGAGTCCGGCTGCAGCCGGTTGGAAAGCATGATGTTGGGGTACATGGCCGCCACGTCGAGGTGGTAGATGAGCGGCGGGTCCTTGCGCAGCGGCGCGTCGCGCATCACCTCGAGCATGCGCTGGATCTCGGCCTTGACCTCGTCGTAGTTGGTGATGTCGTCGAGCGACAGCCGGCCCTCTTCGACGATGCTGAACTTGAGCGCCGCGTCCAGGTCGTCGATCAGCTTCTGCACCGCCTCGGGCTCCACCTTGAAGTCGGTCTCGATGTCGCTGCGGAAGACGCCGGCCTCGAGCGCCTCGACGTGGCCGCCGACGTACGTCTCGGACTCGAGCAGGTGGCCCTTGTACGTGTTGCCCACCGGGTCCGTGTGGCGGTTGGGCATGACGATGTTGCCCTCGTAGGCTTGGATCTGATGGCGGCAGGCGCGCGGGCAGGGGTAGAGGCAGCGTCAGTTGCCGCGCTTGGCCGGGAGACCTGAGCCTCATCCCTTTTCTCCTCTCCATGATCGGCCGCGACTCACCATCAGCAGCGTCTCGCACAGCGTGCCGGAGCCCTTGCGCAGCACCTCGTCCGGGTTGAGCGGGATGATGTTGCAAAGACTGAAGATGAACGGGTGAACGTACTTCATGTAGAGGTAGTAGGTGGCGACGGCGTCCGAGACCGAGTACTGGGCCAGCGTCTGCGGCTGCTCGATGGCGTAGGGCGTCATTAACTCCGGGTCCAGCTCCATCGGGTCGTAGCCCAGCTTGGCGACGGTGACGGCCTTGAGGCCCTGGCTGCCCTGCGGGAGGTACGAGTCGCGCTTGACCCAGCGGAAGCAGTCGAGGTGGGCGCAGGCGCGCGACTTGTACTCCTTTTCGGCGTCGATGGCGAACCCGATCTCGCTCAGCATCGACAAGCCGTGCGCCGACGCCCTCGCATCGATAAAGGGGAAGTCGAACGAGTCGCCGTTGTAGGTGGCCACGACGGTCGGGTGCGCCTCGCGGAAGTGCTGGAAAAAGCGCTGTAGCAGCGCGTACTCGTCGGCCTCGTTGAAGATGAGAAAGGGTCCCTCGTACTCGGCCTTGGGCGTATACTCAAAGTCGTCGATGTCCTCGCTGACAATCTCGCGGTTGGTGATCAGGTAGCCCTGGCCGTCGATCATGTACGAGATCATCATGATGACGTCGGTCTCGGCGTCGGGGAACTTGAGCGGCTGCTTGGTCGTCTCGATGTCGAAGGCCATGACGACGGGGTCGGCACGCTTGATGCGCTCGGGCACGTGGGTGAGCTTGACGACGCCGGCGGCGAAGCTGACATCGTACCAGAAGCCGACGCGGATACCCTTGTCGATGGCCAGGCGGAGGTGGTAGGGCACGTCGTACTCGCGGATGTCGTTGATGCACTCGGACGCCTCGAGCCCCTGGTGGCCGCTGCGCTTCTTGGGCCCGCCGGTCCAGCCGTCCTCGCCGGGCGCATAGCTGGCGCCGCCCATGCTGTCGTCGTCCATCTCGATCTCGACCGCCGCCGCGGCGGTGGCGGCGGCGTTGAGCACGTCGGCATACGTGTCAACGGCCGACAGCTTCTTCTGCGCCTCCTGCGCAAGCGGCAGCAGTTCCCTGCGCACGGCGAGGAGGTCGTTGACGTTGAGGAAGTTGAGCTTGAGGTAGAGCCGCTGGTTGCCGACGAGGTGGTTGGGCAGCTTGAGGTCCTCCTTGCGGACGCGCTCGATGGACTGGATCAGACCCTCGTACCGTCTCCGCGCCCACTCCTCGACGACCGACTCGGTGCCGGCGCGGCAGCCGACGAGAAAGTAGGGCTGGAAGAGGACGGTGGCCTTGAACATGCTGGCGTCGTCCTGGATAAAGTAGAAGTCGACGCCGCTCCGGCCCGTGCTGTGGTCCGGGTCGCGGACCAGCGTCGGGTGCATGTTGACGAGCCAGGCCTGCCTCGTTTGCCCCTCCTCTATCCGGGAGAAGCCGAGCTTCTCGTCGATCTCGTCCCGGTCTTTGACCTCCTGGAAGCGCTCCTCGACGGCCGAGCCATCGTCGATGCCCTTGGTGAGCTGCGCCGATGCGGCGGCGACGGCCTGCTCCTTTGGGTTGCGGTACAACGACCCGGACCCGCCGCCGCGTTTCCGGAATGTGCCTCTGCTTCGTGTGTTGCTGGCTCCGCCTCTCGACGACGTGAGTCCAAAGGTGCGGGACATGGTGGACGGGCCGCCGTTGGGGCAAGTGGCGGTGTTAGCGGTGGTGGCTGCTGCGGTAGTGTGATGATGTCTGCTCGTTTTTCGAAACTTGGAGCGGGTATATCTGGGACTGTTGGTATGCTGATGGTGCGGCTTGAGATGATAAAGCGCGGGGGGATGCTCAGAAGATGCTCAGAGTGGCGCCGCTGCGATGCTGGAAGGGTGTTGCGACTGTGGCAGAAGGTGTGGCCGCGACGTTTGAGATGCTGTATAAGAGATGCCGGTAAGTTGAAGGTGCAAGAGAAGGGGCGAAGAGTTGGACGGCGGCAGTGGCAGTGGCGATAGTGACGGCCGTTGATAGCGGGATGGAAGTTGGAGGCAGAGGCAAGGAAGACGGCTCAGGCCCAAAATCGCTCCGTCCCGTCTGGCCAAGCTTGCCCGCCCGCCCTCTTCGCCGCCGCCAGGCTCTCGCCAAAACGTCGCGTCGACGCGAAGGGGCCAGGCCGATTTACACGTCGCGAGCAACCAGGCGTGCCTGCCTCCAGGGTCCACTCTGCGATTTCCGAGATCCGTGCCCGTTCCTTCTCTTCTTTGCCAGGCTGGGTTGGCCAGGCTGGCTGGCTGGCTGGCTGGCCGGCTCGTTGCCGCTCGCTTTGACCCCGGCCAAAACGCCGGCTCGGAACATCCAGAGGACGGAGCGAGCTTCTTTTTCTGCTGCAAGCAAGCAGCAGCAGCAGCGGCAGCAGCAGCAGCAGCAGCAGCGGATCCTTCCGAACGGGTGAGCTCCCAGACGACGGACGACGCCTCTCTGACCTGTGGGGTCAGCAGGCTGCCAAGTGGCCGTACCTGGCCTCGATCGACGCTCTCTGGTGGGCCGCCATCTTTGACCGTACCCTGCCGTCTTTTGCTTCGCCTTGCACCACCATCACCGCCGCCGCTGCACTCACCTTTTCCCTCGCCGCAACGTTCCTTCGCCCTCTTCCTCTGGATCCGATAGACTGGCCTCAAGATGGCAGGTGAGCTCCCGACCGTCCGTGTCGAGCTGCGCAAGGACCTCAAGCTTGATACTGACGACGACGACGGCCGCCGCTCCGGAGCGCGCGACCGCCAGACGAGGCCAAGGTGCTGTGCCTCTACGCCGGCGGGACCATCGGCATGGTGCGACAAGACGCCAACAGCGGCTTCGCCCCCTACCCGAGCTTCCTCACCGGTGAGTCGACGCAGCGGCCATCATGCGACGGCTCGCCCCGCTCAAGCTCATGCTGACCTTGCTCGGCTCCTCTGTGCCCCGTCGGTCACGTCCCGCAGAGACGCTTCGCTCCCAGTCGCGCTTCCACGACCCCAGCGCCGACTCCATCTTTAGCTGGAGCGACTCGGTAGACCGCTACAAGGCCGTACGTGTCTCGGCCCCACGTCCCGTCGTTTCGCCCGCAAGCACCTGCTGACCTCCGAACGTCGCGGCATGCCCCGGCTTTGACCGCTCCTACCCTCTCACTCTGGCTCGCCCCGCCCTGCCAGTGGAGCGAGGCCTACACTCGACCCGCTAGCGGCACGGCCACGCCCAACAAGCGCAAGGCCCCACCCGTCACGGGCGACACGCTCGAGCAGGCCGCGCGCGCCATCGGGCAGCAGGTCAACAAGCGGCCGCGCGACCAGGCTGACGGCACCCTGAGCCCAGCCACCCAGACCCACCTCGAACACCTCGCGGCAGACTCATCGGCCCTTCCTGTTGTGCCTGGTGGCCCCGGCTCTGCTGCTGCGGCGGCGGCTGCTTCCGACACGGGCCATGCCGGTGCACCTCCCTTTGGCCCGCCCGTCTGGGTCCGCTCCTCGGCACCAAAGGGGACCTCAACCCACCACGCCGTGTCGTCGCGCCTGTCGGAAGATGGCAGCTGCCTCGAGCTCCAAATCCCTACCCTCATCACGCCCAGGGGTGCAAACGGCAAGAGGGTCCGCTATGCGGTCCTCGAGTACGACCCGGTATGTCCCAGATGATCTCGGCAGCACCGCCACTAGCCGCTGTGCACCAACCCCTCTGACGAACCATCGACCGTCCGTCCTCTTCCCTCTCGGCCAGCTGCTCGACTCGAGCGAGATGGACATCCCCGACTGGATCCGGCTCGCGACCGACATCTCGCTCAACTACAAGAGCTTCGACTCCTTCATCGTGCTGCACGGCACCGACACGATGGCCTACACGTCGAGCGCGCTTTCGATGCTGCTCGAGAACCTGGGCAAGTCGGTCATCGTAACGGGCGCCCAGGTGCCGCTGTCGGAGCTGCGCAACGACGCCATCGAAAACGTCCTGGGCGCCCTGATGCTGGCCGGATCCTACATCATCCCCGAGGTGGGCCTCTACTTTGCCTCGACCCTCTACCGCGGCAACCGCACCTCGAAGGTGTCCAACAACGCGCTGGCCGCGTTCGATTCGCCCAACATGGCACCCCTGGCCCGCGTCGGCATCAATATCGAGGTCTCGTGGAACCTGGTGGAGCGCAGCAGGGTCCTCGAGCCCTTCCGCGCCCACAACCGCATGTCGCCCAACGTGGCGCTGCTCCGCCTCTTTCCCGGCCTGCCTACCAGCACGGTGCGCACCTTTCTCTCGCCGCCGCTGCAGGGCGTCGTGCTCGAGTCGTACGGCGCCGGCAATGCCCCCTCGCGGCCGGACCTGCTCGAAGTCTTCCGCGAGGCGAGCGCGCGCGGCGTCGTCATTGTCAACATTACCCAGTGCATGCAGGGCGAGGTGTCGGCCATCTACGCCGTGGGCAAGAAGCTCGAGGCCGTCGGCGTCGTCGCCGGCAGCGACATGACGCCCGAGTGCGCGCTGGCCAAGCTGTCCTACCTCCTCGGCAAGCCCGAGCTCGAGCCCAACCAGGTCCGCGAACTCATGGGTCGACCGCTCAGGGGCGAGCTGACGCCCAGCCGTCAGCCGGCCTCGAGCGCGGCGCCCACGTCGGTCAAGGGCCCCGAACCGAGTCCCGGCGTGACAAAGACGGACATGAAGACGCTCCTCGCTCACATCTTGCAGAACCCGTTCAAGGCGCAGAATACGGCACTGTCCGGTCAGGGCGGCAGCGTGGCGAGGGCCGAGGCGGCGGCGGCGTGGGATCGGTCCGATCAGGAGGTGTCGGAGGCGGCTTCTTCGGTGCTCCCATGTGAGTCCCCGCCAGATGTCCGCCATGGACTCGACTCGACTCGGTCTGACCATCGTTTGTGCTGACCTCGGTGACGCTCCGTATGGCGTCTTCTGCTCACCTTCCCCTCTCGCAGACCTAATCTACGAAGCAGCGGCATCCAACGACCTCTCTCTGCTGCAGTGGCACCTCTTCGCCCTCTCACAGCTGGAATCGACCATCCCGCCTCTATCGATGGACGAGCCCACACTGCACCTCGATACATCGAGCGCCACGACGACGACACACCACCACTCGACATCGACGGTACCCCTGGAACGCCTCAGACCGCTGCACATCGCTTCGTCCAAGGGCCACCTTGGGGCCGTACAGATGCTCCTCGAGGCAGGGTGCAGCGTGCATGCCCGCGACGACGTCTCGGGCCACTCGCCCCTCTTCCTCGCCGCCAAAAACGGCCACCTCGCCGTCGTACAGCTCCTCAAAAACGCTGGCGCACACCTCAAACAGGACGAGGTCGAGCTGGCTAGGTTCTGGAAGAGGCAGAGCCAACTTGCCGTCGATGCCGTCGTCGTTGCTGAATCTTGGAAGGTGGCGGGCCTCGAGGAGTGATCGCGCAGTCGTATTTCGAGGGGCTTAGAAAACATTAGATTGCCATTGGTGACCTGTTGATCCATTCTGCACTGCCCGGCGCTACTCTGGTCCTAGACGGCCGCCTCTCGACGGATGCTCCAAATCGAGATGGCCACTGCGCCGAGGCAGATGACGGCTCCAACAAGAACCAGGACGATGTTGAGCTCCAGCTCCCAGAACAGGCGAGCGAGATGGTGCCGCAGCCGATCGATGCTGCCCCTCGATCCGGCCTGGGCCGACCAGCGAGGATCGTTCTGTGGCCAGAGACTGGTGAGGTCGTCGCACCACGCCTCCTGACAAAGCAGCCCCTTGACGAGGAAGGGATGGGCATCCGGCGCGCCGGGCGGAGACGGGTCCGAGAAGAACACGGTCGTCTGCCGCGCCGCGCTGTTGCTCCTACCGTCGTCAGGACTGCTGCCGGCGCAGCGAGGCGGCTGCGAGTGCGTCTCGATGCAAAGCGGCTCGATCGTCGCTGCGCTGTCGTTGGTGGGCCCAGAGGAGAGGCAGGGATGGACGAGCCCTTCGTGCAAGTTGCCGAGGAGACGCAGCGCTTGCGTCCGCAACGGCTCCGACGGCGTGACACGGGCCGCCTCTCCAGATGGCGAGAGGGAGAGCAGGGGGGCCAGTATGGCCTTCCATCCCGCTTCCTCGATGCGTGCCCTCTCCTCAGCCGTCCTGGCCGAGGCCAATGCCGGTTTGCCCTTGCCGTCGAGCAAAGCAACGAGGCCCAATCTCTTGCCGGACGTCGCTCCGCGGCGGGTCCTTTCGAAGGCGAGGAAGGGCGAGCTCGGATGGACCTGCACCGCCGGGATCCTCGGGTGATGATCGGCCGCCTGCGCTTGGCTCCGTTGCGCGGCGACGACGGCAGAGAAGCTGTCGAGGCCGGCCCACTGCTGAATCTGCAGGGCTCGCCGGACAAAGTGGATGTCAAAGGACCTTGCCTTTTCGAGCATCGTCCGCCGCTCGTCGTCGGACGCAGCAGTATCGTCATCCTCGACGTGCAGCCATCGGAGAAAGAGCCTCGCCCGCCACCTCGCATGCGCCAGCAGGACCGCATGGATCGGTTGCCTCTCTTTCAGCCGGACATCGTCGTCGGTCTTGTCGCACTTGCCTCCATCGTCGACCACGGAGGACTCTTGCGTTGAGCGCGCGATGCCGCGCATGCCCTCCGTCAGCCTCCTTTCGGCGCTCCGCCTGCTCTCCTCTTGCCACAGGCTGCCGCCCTCGCCCCAGGCGTAGCCGACGTTGCCGGCCCACAGCCTGGCCATGCCCGGAGCCAGCGCATGCTCCGTGAGGTTGAAGAGCGTCTTTGTCTGAGAAAAGGTCTGCGACTCTTGCAGCGAGAAGAGCATCGAGTCCGGGTTGAGGTGCGTGCTCAGCAGCAGCGGATCACGCCTTTCCTGCGACGCCGCAGCGCCCTGACCGGTCGACGAGGATGTGGACCGCAGCAGACCGCTCGAGGTCGGAAACGCAGGCACGGCGGCGAGGATGGTGCGGTAGGCCATGTGGTGTACGTCGGCGGGCGACGTGAACCGGCGGTAGCGGGTGACCAGATGATGGTAGGCGGCTAGGTACCACGTTGCCCAGCTGCGGTCGAAGCAGGCGCAGTCGCGGTCGTGCGGGTTGAGGGCAGACAATGCTGGTTTGTCTCCCTCGACTGCCGAGTCGAGGGGCCGGCCGACTCGAAAACGCTCAACGTGGGTGCCGAACGGGTCGCAGCGCAGCAGGGTGGCCCTCAGGCTCTCAAACTCCTGTCGCAGCCTGGCTTCCCTCTGATTGCTGTCGAGGTCCTCGTAGTCCTCGACGATCCTTTGGAGGCCAGCGGCGGGCTTGACTCTGGCCCTCCGACTCAGGCCCCGGATGGCGGCGTAGACCACGGCGTTGGAGAAGAGGAAGAAGCGGTGGGTCTTGGCCGCCTGCACGGGGGAAGGCGAAGCGTTGCAGCTTGAGGAGGAGGCTGGCTCGACTACAGCCTTGGGAATCGATGGAAGGGATCCACTCCGCAGGGCAGGGAAGCCGCCATGGCTGCGGTAAATCCACTTTGAGAAGCGGGAAAAGAGGTCGGCGATTTCGATGATGTCGGCGTTGACTACGCCAAATGCAAAACCGTCTACGAAGCAGTCCCAGATCCTCTCGATGCGGTCCACGCCGCGCGCATCGGTCCACTGCGTCAGGCTGAGGACGTCTTGCGGAACAAAGCCGAGCGAGGCGAGGAGGATCCGGCGAAGGCGATGCCGCTTCGCCACTGCCCTTGCGATCGGAGCGAGGCACGGGTGAACGAGGCACAGCCGCGCCAGATCGAGCAGCGAGAGCGCCGCGGGTGATCCGAAAATGTTCAGGAGCAGCTCGGGGGGGAGCTGGATCATGTTGGCTGCTTCGAGGCGCCTGCCGACGTGATCGTAGCCGGAGGTGGAAGGACGGTGTCGAGCACCCTCTCAAAGGCGTCGAGGGCGCGGAAGAAGGCCGGGATGCCGACCTGCTGGTAGGCGTCGTCCTGGGTGCCGCCGCTGCTGTGGTGGCCTGCGCAGCTCTCACAGGCGCGCGGAAGGCTGCGTGTGTCGCCGCAGCAGTCGACACGACGGTCGCAGGTGCATTCGTCCAGGGAGTGGGCCGCGAGGCTGTGTTGCCGCAGCTCGTGTGGACGGGGCGAAGACGACGATGCGGCCATGAGAGTAGTTGAGGCTTCACGGTTCCGCCGGGAGGATCATCGAAGCGCTGCCGAAAGCGAGACGCCAGGAGATGTGGGGCCACAGAGGTAGGCAGAGTGGTGAGGGGTCAGACCTAAGGGCGGTGCATGGACAGGCGCAGGCTGTTGGTTAGGGTTGGGAGGCAAGTAAGTCAGGCACAGCTCGCCCCCCGCCGCGCACAGGCCGGGCCGGCCACCCGCACAGACTTCTCGGGTCACCCGAAGGTCTCGGAGCCCAACCGCTGATCCTGCCGGCTACGCCTCCGCAGGCATCTTGTCCGCCTCTCTCGCGGCCTCCTGAGGAGCTGCTAAGGAGAGCACACGCTCGCCTCGTCGCTGCTCAGAGGGAGGACCAGCAGCGGTGCGAGCTGGGCAAACGTGCGAGATGCAGGTGGCCCGGCCAGGCCCGGCCAGGCCAGGCCAACAGGCCGCGAGTCAAAGTGGAGGGCAGCTTCGAAGAAGCCAGAGGGGGCCGTCGGCCGGCTGGCGAGACCTTGGCAGACGACCACCATCACCGCCGCACCGCCGCCCTTTGGCCTGCCTCGACCCTGCCGTTGTCCGGGCTGCCCCACCCATCAGCGCCGCATTCCACCATGCCGCCGTCGACGCTCGCATCGATCGGCAGCCACCGCCATGCGACCATCCCGGCGCACAACGGGCCCTGCAACGTCGTCCGCTACAACACCCTCGGCCGGTACATCCTGACGGGCGGCTCGGACCGGCAGATCCACCTCTACAACGCCACGAACGCTTCGACGGCTGCATCGCCGTCGATACCCATCAAGTCCTATGGCGCACACAGCCACGAGATCCTCGCCCTCTCAATCTCGAGCGACAACATGCAGTTCGCCTCTGGCGGCGGCGACAAGAGCGTCTACGTGTGGGACGTCGCAAGCGGCACCATCCTCCGCCGCTTCAACGCCCACGTCGGCAAGGTCAATGTCGTCGAGTTCTGCGGCGTGCCCTCCAACGCATCGGCGGGCGGCGACTCGCTCCTGAGCGCGGCGGGCTTCGACGGAGCGGTGCGCTTCTACGACCTCCGCTCCCAGGGAAGCTGGAAGCCCATTCTGGAGCTCAAGCAGTCGCGCGACGCCATCCTCTCCCTGGCCGCCACCTCATCCCGCATCTACACGGGCAGCGTCGATGGGCACGTACGCACCTACGACCTGCGGTCCGGACAGCTCTCTTCGGACCTCGTCGACGTACCCATCTCTTCGATCCGCCCGAGCCGCAACGAGACGTCGCTCCTCGTCGCGAGCCTCGACTCGACCGTACGCCTCTTCGACACCGAGACCGGAGAGTGCTTGCAGTCGTTCACGGGGCACAAGCATGGCCAGTACCGCTGCAGGGCGGTGCTGACTACCGAAGAAGACGCCGTCGTCATGGGAGACGAGGAGGGCAAGCTGCACGTGTGGGACCTCGTCTCGAGGCATCGAAGGGAGGTGATCCCGAGGGACGCCGGAGCCGCGGGCAAGGCGCACCCAAAAGGGATCCTGTGGACCGAGATCAACCCTCTCGCCGAGAACGGCAACGAGGTCGCTACCGCCGGCGCCGACGGCACTGTCAAAATCTGGAGGAGCTCCTCCGAACCTCGGGGCTAGCTCACAGAGCTTGGAGGTTCGAGGTGCTCTACAATCCCTGCCATTGGGCTCGGACCAGCGCTTTCCCTGGGTGCTCTCCCACGCAAGAGTCCCTCATTAACTACTGCGATAGCCAGCAGCCTCGCATCAAGCGGGAAAGCCCCTGCGCTGTCGCGGCAACGAGCCGACCGAATCCGTCTTTTGGCCGCCCCGCCGGTCTTAGCGCATTCGTCAGACGGAGCAAACAACAGCAGCCGCTTCGGACGTCCATGAGCCTTCTTTGCCCCAAAGGAGACGCAGGCATGCTTTGGCCGAGTCTAACGATGGCACCGCCCCCGAGTGAGGGCATGAGTCGGCCGTAAAGCGACTGGCCGCACACAGGCACCTTCTGCGCAAAAGTCCGTTGCTCGCCGGGGCGTCATCGGTCAGACCACAGTCGGTCGCGGTGCAAGCCAGAGAGCCAAACTTATGAAGTGCCTGGCACGGGCAGAGTCCGTGCTGCTCTCCACTCTGTCTGGCAGACGTTGGGCCAGAGCCAGCGGCGTTGTCCGCCGTGCCACTTGTCCTTTTTCTCCTGCAATCACCTTCACCACCACAAAACTCTTTCAAGGTCTTCTCTGCACCGACACCGGCGACATGGTATCCACCCTCAAAAGGCGGTCCTCCAACGACGCCTGGAGCGACAACAGCTCTCTTACCAGCTTCGAGACCCCGCCTTCGGCCACGCTTCCTCCCCTCGCCAAGCGCAGCAAGCCTCATGCGTCGGAACCTCTAGACGGAGCAGAGCGTCGCGGTGAGCTCGATGAGCAGCCCTTGGCCTCCGCGCCTCGGTTTGACCAGCCTGCATCCATGGGCAAGATCGAGTGCGATTCCGGTTACCCTTGTGCCGAGATCAAGGCAGGCCACGCTAGCGCCACTCGCATCTCGGAACCGGGTCTGCGGCTTTCCAGCTCTGTGGCGGGCCTCGAGGGCATCTACGAGACATCCGAAAACATCCTGGCCCAGCTCTCGAGGCTTCCCGAGGGCATGGCCGGCCTCGCGGCGCTGAAAGACTCTGCTCGTCGCCTGGCAGAGGGCACCGTCGACCGTCCCACGACGTTCGTCGTGCGGGGTCCCACCGGAGCCGGCAAGTCCACGCTCATCAACGCCATCATCGGCGAGGATATCATGCCCACCTTGAGCAACCAGGCGTGCACCACGGCCCCGACCGTGATCCTATACAACTCGACGTCCGATTCGTATCGTGCAGAGGTGCAATTCGTATCGGCCGCGGCGTGGACCGACGAGCTGCAGGCCTTCTGCATCGCGCGGCGCCAGGAGGCCGGAGTGCCTGCTGAGGAAGACCCGCCTGAATCATTGGGCTCTCGAGAAGAAGTTGCGCCCCTCGGCCCTGAGCAAGAAGCCGCCTCGGTCCTGCCCGAGACAGGCGATGCTCGATTCTCCTTGGACTCCACCCTCGCCAAGCTCCAGGCCCTCTTCCCGAATGAGGCTTGGGACGACTTCTCGGACGGGCGCCCCTGGACTCCTGCCGAAATCCTCGAGCTCGATGGCTCGTTTCGAGAGCGGCTGGGCTCGACGGACATCATCGAAGCTGCTTGCGCGAGCGACATGGGGGATCGTCTTGGCGAGTTCGACGACCCACGCCGCTGCAATCTCTGGCCTCTCATCTTCGAGATCAGAGTCTACATCCCGTGCAGCACCCTCAGGCATGGTGCCGCGCTAGTCGATCTGCCAGGCACCGGCGACTGCAACGCTGCACGCAATGAGGCGGCCGCCCGATACGTCAGAGAATACGACTACATGTGGGTCTGCCTGGACATCTGCCGTGCAACGGCGGCTAAGGAGCTCGAAACTATCTTCTCCGAGCTCAGCGACGAGCAGCTGCAGAGCGGCCGCGGCAAGGTCTCCTTCTTGCTGACGAAGACCGAGCGAGGCTGCGGTGTTCTCGACAAGGAGAGCGTCAAGACGATACACGAGGACGTGCCACTGCTGACAGACAATGAAGAGTTCAGCGACCGGCATCGCGACTATCACGCCTTGGTACGGGCCACCAGGACCTTTCGGGCGCAGGTGCAAGCGAGCAGCTCAGCGAAAACGTCAAGCAGCGACCCCGATGACTGGAGGCGCAATGCCCAGCAGCTCCAGGCTCTCAAAGCCGAGTGCGCAGACCGTCGGCGCGAGCTCGCGCGTATGTACTGCCAAGCACGCTCGCAGGCCGTCGGTGCCGCCTTGAAAGAGAGGTACGACCGACTGACGTCCAGGCTCGTACACCGTTCCAGCACCACGGGAAGCCTCGCGGAGCTGGTCTACAGCACGGCCACAGAGGACTTTCAGGCTCTGTGCCGCGGCGACGACGGGCAGGCTGCTGCGACCGAGGAGGACACCGGTGTTCCAGAACTACGCCGTCTCATCCAGCGAGCCGCGGAGGCCGCACGCACCGCAGCCAAGGACAGGCAACTGCAATTAGCTGCGCTGCTCTGCAAGGACGCCTGCATGCTCCTCGGCCCTGCTCTGATCCGTTGCGAATCCGACCGCATCGCCTTTGACCACCGATGGGGCTCTGACCGACGTGCTGGCGCACCGAGCGTCTCTGAGACGCTGCGCGCAAGGTTCGAGAACTTCCTCATTCGGGCCTTCAACCAGCTGGAGCTCGACCTCGTCGCCCTCGGCAAGCGTTCAGTGAACATGGCGCTGAATGGCAGTGAGCTGAAGCGACAGATACTACCTCGCTGGCTGGCGATCTGCCAGCAGAAGCACTGGAGAGTCGTCAGAACTGCCGTCATCAAAGCGGGCGTCAATCCCTACGGCCGGCTCGACATCAATGCCGAGCTCTCTGTCGAGCTGGTCAAGCTGTTTGAGTCGGCCTGGGACGGCGTCATCTCGAACTGCATCTCCTCGCTCCGCACCAGCATCCTCGGCATCCTCAACAGATTCGTCGACGAGTTCGTGGCCAACGGTCTCACCGAGAGATCGTGCAGAGAGCTGGCCGAGTTCATGGCGCAGGGGCAAGACGTCCTCGAGCGTACCTTGGACGACATCATCGCCACTTTCGAGATGCAAGGCCGTCAAGCTCGTATCGAGGAGATGACTGCGGCGATCGCGCCCAAGCTCGCCAAGAAACTCAAGCAGACGTACCAGAAAGGCGCCGAGCACGTCGGAAAGGGTTCAGCCAAACGCCGAATCGATACGATCGCTGCCGAGATCCGCAAGCAGGACACGTTCTTGGACTGCGCTCTGGCCGATTCCGACCTCCCGTTCGTGATCGAGGCGATGCATCTTCAGATCCGTCGACCTGTATTTGGTCTCGGTCTGATGATGCAGGAGAGGCTCGACAGCTTCTGGGGCGTGAGCCGCGAAGCCAAAGGGCTCGAGGGACCGCGAAAGGAGGTCTTGGAGGCCATCATCGGTCTCGCTGGCCAGCTGTTCGCCTTGCGGGCTAAGCCCGAGTCGACGCTTGAGGCTCGCTCGGACCCACGCTCCAATGCTGGTTGCTGAGCAGCCTCTCTTGCCTCACCCGCTCGGCACAAGAAACCATTCGACCTCGGCAGCACAGGCGACGCGAGGTCATCGCCATAAAGACCCAGCTGTCCAGCTGCAAAGATAGCAGCACCTCGACTTTAGCAGATGGGAGGTGCCACACCAGAAGAAGCAGGTACGGCGGGGCAAGCACCGAGCCCCTACCTGTCGCACGCAGACTGCAGACCCATGAAGCAGTAGTTCCTTGTACATTTGAGAGAGTACGGCCTGCAAAGTAGCACAGACGTCCGAGCCTCGGTACCGAAAGCGCGTTGTTGCGAGCAGACACATGTAGAAGCCATCATGTTCGATACGGGTGGGGAGGGTCAGCCGCGGTGATCCGACTATAGCCTAGCGGCACCTTTCGTAGCTGGCTGGATGGTCCCTCCGTTAGACGGAGCCCTTGGTTGACGCGGATGCGGAAGAGGGCTCAGCGAAGACTGTCGATGCGACGGGGCCTCGGTACGGTCGAGCGAGGCCCAAAGTTCCGCTCGATCTGCGGCTCTGGCTGGATCCAAGAGACGGCGATACACCACGATGCGCTGGTTCCCGCTTCAATCCGCCTCAGTCACTCTGGCCGCCGGAGCGGAAAGCGGTCAGTCAAACGAGACTTGCCCTTTCGAGGATCCCGCGATTAAGGTCACGGCCGTGTCAAAGCGGTCGACCACCTCCGCTGCGGCTTGATTCGGCTGTGCCTGAATCGGAGAGCTTCCGCTCCTGTCGGCCGCCCCCGCTTCTGCTTGGCCAGAATCGGCCTGAATCGGCGAGCTCCCGCTCTTGATGGCCGGCTGGCGGCCGTCTCTCTGGTATATAGGCAAGGGAGATCCCCGGTCTGCTACTCCTTTCCCTTCCCCTCACGCCACGTCCTACGCTCCCCTCTTCTTCTCAGCAACTCGACCAACAGACTTCACACCGACACTTAGCCAGCCATGAACATGAAGAGGAGCCAAATCTCTGACAACCTCGAAAAGGGGAGCGCCGGTACCGGCCAACGACACAAAAGCTCTGATGGTTCTCTTCATCGTTCCAAGCGCATAAAGGCTCGACGCCACGAAGCAACGATCGACAAGGCTAGCAGAGATGAACATGAACCGCAAGATGATACTTCGTGGTCCGACGTTCTTGAGGCAGCTCTGATATGCAAGCTTGAGCCTGACACCGATGGGGACTGCGCTGGCAATGCCTCCCCTGACGAGGACATTGCCGTCGAGGGAGATGTCGTCGTCGACGACTCCTCTGACAAAGATTGCGATGAGGACATACAGGAGCAGGAAGGCACGCAAGCCGAAGAGCTGGACGTGCAAGCGGAATGTGCCTCAGCGGCTTCCGAGCGTGCTCTCAAATCATGCGATGACATCTTGAGTGCGTTGGAGCGGCTGCCGGAGGACATCATCGGCCTTGTAGCGCGGAAGGACGCTGCGCGCCGCCTGGCCACCAAGAATGAGGAGCGACAGACGACTTTCATCGTGCGGGGACCCGCTGGTAGCGGCAAATCCACGCTGATCAACACGATCCTCGGTGAGGAGATCATGCCGACATCGAGCAACGAGGCCTGCACCACCGTGCCCACCAAGATACTGTACAGCTCCGCGCCTGACGAGTACCGCGCCGAGATCCAATTCGTCGCCAAGGACGAGTGGACGGCTGAGCTGCAGGCGTATTGCACAGCGCGGCGCCAGGAGTCCGACACGTTGCCCAGCAACGGCTCCGCTCCAGCTTCCGCCATTTCGACGCAGCTGAGGGATAAGAGCCTCGAACCGTGGGACGCCACGGAAGCACGCTTCTCTCTGGACGCCACTATTGCCAAGCTCAGCGCCCTGTTTCCCCGTGAGACTTGGGACGACTTCTCCGACCGGCGCTCATGGACAGCCGCAAAAATCCTCGCCCTCAATCCCGCTTTCAAAAAGCCGTTGGGAGTGACCAGGCACGAAACGGCTGCCTGTGCTGGCGATCTCAGGGAACTGCTGAGCCGCTACGATGATCCTCGACGCTGCCGCATCTGGCCGCTTATCACCGAGATCCGAGTCTATCTTCCCTCGAGCGTCCTCAGGCATGGCGCTGCTTTGGTCGATCTGCCAGGCACTGGCGACTGCAATGCCGCGTGTAACGAAGCCGCTGCTCGATATATACGCGACTACGACTTTATGTGGGTGTGCCTGGACATCTGCCGCGCCAAGTCGAACAAGGAGATGGAAGCAGTCTTTGCCGACCTCAGCGACGAGCAGCTGCAGAGCGGAAGAGGAAGGATCTCGTTTGTCCTGACCAAATGCGAACAAGGCTGCAAGATCCTCGACAAGGGCAGCATCAGGCCGATACACCAAGACGTACCATCCCTGCTCAACGACCCGGTCTTCAACAAGAAGCATCGAGAGTACCAGGCAGTTGTCGAAGCGACGAGGCAGATGCAAAAGCGCGTAGGAGGATCCGGCCGCGCCCCTCGAAAAGCGACGAAGTCTGCGATTCTCGAGCTCGAGGCCCTCAGCAACACCAAGAGAGATTGCCGACGTCAGCTGGCCCGTTTGTACTGCAGGGCTCGCTCAAAGGCAGTCGCAACCGCACTCATGAAGCGATACCATGACTTGACCCACAGACTCGTCCACCAGTCCAACACGACGCATCAGTCTGCACGACTGATCTTTACTACAGCGACGGAAGACTTCGAGGCTCTTGGTCTGGGATACGACACCGTAGCCTCCGAGACCGAAGATGACACGGAGATTCCTCATCTTCAGCAGCTGATAGAGCGGGCGTGAGCCGGGCAGCGCATCGCAGCAGTCGTCGATCGGCTCCAAACCGCCAAACTGCTTTCTTCAGAAGTCACAATGCTGCTCAAGCCTGCCTCTTATCGCGATGCAGACCGACGAATGGCATTCGCGAAACGATGGGGCCATCTCCGAAAGGTTGGCGCACCGAGCATCTCTGAGGCGCTCCAGGATGAGTTCGGTGGCGCCCTGGACAAGGTCTTTGATCATTTGCGAACCCAGCTCGAGGCCGTCAACCAAGAGCCTGACATGATCACGCCGGACGGCGCCAAGTTGACACAGCAGATAGGCTCTCGATGGACCACCATCACCGGTAGCAGTCACTGGAAGATCGTCAAGAACGCCACCAACCACTTGGGCGTGCATCCCCATGGCCGACTCAACATCAACAGGAAACTCGCTCTCGAGCTGATCAAACACTTTGAGTCTAGATGGAACCAAATCGTCACGGAACACATCTCCTCGCTTCGCACACAGGTCACCGCGGTTCTCAACGACTTCACTGAGAAGACGGTCGCGAGCGGACTCACCAAATCGATGCGCGTACAGTTCCTCCAATCGATCAAGCAAAGCGAACAGGGTGTTGAGCGCATCCTCAAAGGTGTTATAAAGACTTTTGAGAAGCAAGGCCGCGAGAGTCGCGTCCAGGCTATCAAGAAGGTGGTTGCGCTAAAGATTGCCTCCAAGCTCAAAGAGGCCTATGCCGATTCCGCCGAGTACTCGGGCCGGGGGTCAACGTTCCGACGAAGGGACAGGATCCAACACGAGATCCTTGGGCAGAAGTCTCTGTTTGACTGCACCGCGGCCGACTTTGACGTTGCCAGCATGGTCGCCGACATGCAGCTCAAGATTCGTCAACCCATGCTCGATCTTGGCAATGCCATGGAGGAGAAGCTGATGACACTGTGGGCAATGGGCCGCGACGTCCGAACGCTGAAAGGAGACGAAAAGAAAGCGCTCGAAACCGCTATCGACCTGTCTAATGACCTGCGCTCCGTCTGCACGGAGGCCACCAACACGCTCGAGGCCTGCCTCAAGTCCTCGCCCTAGGCAGACCCGCCAAAGACCTTCGACCCCGGCCCTACAGATTCAAACGCATCGAGAAGATAGAGATCACCGACCGATAGGTGTGCTTCGAGAAAAGACGTGGAGACCATCCTTATAGCCTAGTCACGACGATTGGGCTCCTCCATATCAAGAAAAGGCTCGTAGCAGACAAGACGAAACCAGTCACAACATGAAAAAGCCGAGCCGATTTCCTGGCCCGCTATATGAACAGTCAGTCAACAGGCTGAAGACGAGGCCTCCCATGAAGCGCATTAGCTGGAGGCTCGAGCCATAGCGACGTTTCGAGCAGCGAAGAGGGAGCAGAAGCCAGAGTGGAGACGGAGACCGGGGCGGAAAGGGTGTACGTACGTCGTGATGTAGCCCTAGTGTGGCAGCAGCCTCTGGCCGGCCATCTTACCTGATGTCAAAGTTACAGCCCCGAGCATTCACCACCGGGGGCAGCCTTATGAATTGGCGCATGACGGTGGTCGAGAACTAGATTTGAAGGTAGGCAACCTGCGCACAACCTTGCTGCGCCCCCGATAGACACGGGCCGGCCCTTTGTCCCGTCTCTCTCACTGTGCCAGCTCTTCTCGCCCCAGTAGCAGATGGAGGATGTCAAGGTTCTCCCTGGCCAAGCCGTGTAGCTTGGCTCGGCGCCCCATCTCGTCTTCTCCTCTTCTTGAGCCCAATCTTCAAGGCCCTTCCATCTCTCGCTCGTTCCCAATACACCCTCCTCGCTTCAGGAGCCGACCGTCATGTCTGCCCCACCAACCTCACAGAAGCTCCCCCTCCTGGTCGATGGCTACGACTTCGACGGCGACAGCGCACGCGCTAATCCCAACTGCGCCGTCGTCGTGCACTGTGTCGAACGTGACCGAACGAGGGACCCTGCTGCCGTGCAACTCTCCGCCGAACCGATCGATAGAGATAGCCTGCGGCTCGTCGACCTGAGCAGCGGCACAGATTCGATCAAGCATGAAAGCGCAATCGACAGCGGCACTCGCAGCGACGATGTCGGTGACGCTGACGACGACGACGACGACGACGACGACGACGACGAGTATTACGACGACGAAGAAGACTTCAAGGGCCAGGTCGGTGGAGAGCTTTCCCAGAAGCTGGAGCAAGCGGCACGAGACGCCTTCCTCGCATCCGCCCACGTCACCAACACATCGTCGACCATCTCGAGCCTCCTCGACAGGCTGCCGAGCGAGCTCGTGGGCCTCGCCACGCTAAAGAGCGCCTCGGATCGCCTCGCGGAGCTGCCACTGGTCAGCCGCACCACGTTCGTCGTCAGAGGACCTGCGGGCCACGGCAAGTCGACGTTGATCAACTCGATCCTGGGCGAAGCCATCCTGCCCATCTCGAGCAACGAGGCGTGCACCACCGTCCCCACCCGTATCCTCCACAGCCCATCTCCCGACCTCTACCGGGCCGAGGTGAGCTTCATTTCCCTCACCGAATGGGTCTCGGAGCTCAAGGCATACTGTACGGCCAGGCTGCAGGGCGTGTTCACGCCACCTGGTAGCCCGACTGTAACCAGCCCAATCGCAGCAGCCCAGCCGGTCTTCTCCTTTGATGCCACCGTCGCCAAGCTCAACGTCCTCTACGACGGGACGGATTGGGGTGAATTGACGGAAGACCAGTGCGACTGCACTCCGACAGGGATTTTGGAGCGCGATGCCCAGCTGCGCGGCCTTCTGGGCACGACGACGCACCTCCGCGAGACGTCAGCCGAAGAGTTGAGCCGGAAGCTGCGCCAGTTCGACGACCCGAGGACCTCTCGCGTCTGGCCGCTGGTCAAGGAGATCCGTGTCTACATCCACTCGAAGCCGCTCGAGCATGGCGCCACACTCATCGACCTGCCTGGCACGGGCGACTGCAACGCTGCCAGGAACGAGGCGGCTGCGCGATACGTGCAAGACTACGACTTTATGTGGGTCTGCCTCGACCTCTGCCGCGCCAAGTCGAACCGGGAGATGGCCGAGGTCTTTGCCACCCTGTCCGACGAGCAGCTGCGTAGCGGGAGGGGTCGGATCTCGTTCGTCCTAACGAAGAGCGAGCAGGGATGCAAGATCCTCGACCGGCCGCTGGAAGCCATCCACCAGGACGTATCGGCCCTGCGCGACGATGCCGAGTTCGCAGACACCCATCAACGTTATCGCGACGTCGTCTCGATGATCCAAGACAGACAGACGGGGATCCGTATGACGCGGAGCAGGCAGGCACAGCCGCAGCGCAAGAAGCGTAGGAGGACGGAAAAGCAGTCCGAGGGCCTCGACGAGCTCATCGACGAGCGCCGCGAGCTCAAGCAGCAGCTGGCCCTGACCTACTGCAAGGCGCGCTCGCAGGCCGTCGAAGCCGCCATCACGGAGCGCTACCACCAGATGACGCACAAGCTCATCCACCGCCTCCACGGCGACGAGGAGGACGTCAAAGCAAGCGCTGGCCTCGCCAAGCTAGTCTACAGCACCGCCACTCAGGACTTTGAGGCGCTCATGACGCGCGACGTTGACGAGGTCGTCTTTGCCACTTGCGAAAAGGACACGGGCGTCCCGGACCTGCGCCATCTGCTCTTCTGGACTTCGTGCCGCGACCGCATCAGCTGCGCCCTGTCGCGGCTGCATTCGACCTTGCTGATGTCGACCGAGGTCCTGATGCTGACGGAGCCCTCGGCGTACCTCGATGCGAGCGAGCGCAAGGCGCTTGCGCAGCGGTGGGGCCCCTCTCGCCCCGCCGGCCAGCTGAGCATCTCGGAGACGCTCGAGCTCGAATTTGAGCAGTCGATCCGCAGGATCTTCAAGCGTCTCGAGGCCGAGATGATCCAGCAGAGCACCGAGCTGCTCGAGTCGAGGCAGATCGAGCTGCGCCAGGAGCTTGGGTGCCGGTGGTTCCGTCTGGCAGAGACGAGGCACCCGGTCGTGATCCGATCGGCGCTCAAGGGTGGCGGCGTGCATCCCGCCGGCCAGCTCGACATCAACGCCGAGCTCTCGACCGAGTTCATCAAGCTGTTCGAGTCGACCTGGAACGAGACCATCGGCAACTACGTCCACTCGCTCCGGTGCGACATCGCCTGTACGCTGCGGCGATTCATGCACGACACGGTCGACGCGCACCTGTCCGCGCCGATGCGGCTGGCGTTGAGCGAGTCGATCGCGCAGAGCCAGGACGAGCTGACGCGCCAGCTCCAGGTGACCATCCAGCGCTTTCAGCGGCAGAGCCGTAGCGACCGGATCGATGCGCTCAACGCCGTCATCGCGCCCAAGATCGCATCCAAGCTGCGGCGGGCGTACGCCGAAGCGGCCCTGTACGCGGGCAGGGGCTCGGTGGCGCGGCGGCGCGACCGCATCTCGTACGAGGTCAGGAACCAGGTGCGCCTCTTCGACTGCACCCCCGACGACTTTGATATCCCCGCCATGGTGCGCGCCATGCGCGACAGGGTGCGCACACCCATCCTCGACCTCGCACGCTGCCTCGAGGACACGCTGGTCAGGTTCTCCCAGACCGGCGGATGCGACTTCAGCTCGCTCGAGGCGCAGCAGAAGGAGGACCTCGAGTCACTCCGTGCCAACGCTCTTGAGCTCCAAAACTTTGCGAGCCGGACGCTGGTGTCGTTGCAGCAGGCCATCGCCTGATGAGCCCGGGCTGACACGGATGGCGACGACGGAATGCGGGCGCTGACACGCGTGGCCATCAAACGTAGCGCTGAAGGCTGCAATCACGCGGAGAGAAAGCGAAGCTGGACTATGGCGCGGGAGGGAGGGTGACGGCAATGCAGTATGATGAACGATGCTGGCGAGCTACAAATACATGGATTCTATTGAGCAGCGGATAAGGTGATTGGCGAGGCGACGATGCCTGACGATGACCCGGGCGACCGCCTAGGGGACGATCTCCTTGATCCTCTCGATGACATCGAGGTAGGCGTGGCTGGCGGGGCTATCGGGGTACTCGTCGACGAAGCTCTCGCCAAGGTCGCAGCACTTTCCAATGCGCGGGTCGAGCGGGATGCTGCCGAGGAAGTTGAGGCCGAGCTCCTCGCACAGCGCCTTGGCGCCGCCGGTGGACGGGTGGAAGATGTCGGAGCGGCCGTGGCAGGCGGGGCAGACGAAGCCGGCCATGTTTTCGACGACGCCGAGAATGCGCACATTCATCTTGCGACAGAACGAGATCTCCTTTCGCACGTCCTGCAGCGACACCTCCTGCGGCGTCGTCAGCAGGACCGCCCCATCGATGCCCGACTCGCGCAGGAAGCCGACAATCGACAGGTGCTCGTCGGAGGTGCCCGGGGGCGTGTCGATGAGCATGTAGTCGAGCACCGGCTGCTTGGCTGGAGCCCCTGCTGCTGCGTCGCCCTCGGTCAAGGTCGCTGGGGCCGTTGCCGTCGCTGCAGCGTGTCCGTTTGTCTCGGGCGCCGGGGTGATCCTCATGTCATCTTCTCCTCGTCGTGCATCTCGATCCTGCAGCTCTCCCTCGTCCTCCTCCTCCTCCTCCTCTTCTTCCTCGAGGCCGCCGGTCCAGTCGACGTCCTTGAGGAACTGCTTGATCAGCCCGTTCTTCTTGGGCCCCCTCCAGATGACTGCCGACGTCTGCGATGGCAAGAGGAAGGCGACCGACATGCAGCAGAGGTTGTCCGAGACGTAGACAGGGGACCAGCCGCTGCTGGTGGCGTGGATGGTCTGGTTGGACAGGCCGAGGATGGTGGGGATCGAGGGGCCGCAGATGTCGATGTCCATGATGGCGGTCTGGGTGTCCTCATTGCTGGCGAAGGCCCAGCCGAGCTGCGCGGTGAAGGTCGACTTGCCGACGCCGCCCTTGCCAGACATGACGAGGATCTTGCGTCGCACAGCACTCATCCGCTCCTTGATGATGGGGAGGTCCGGGTCGGGCCCCTTTGGCGCCGAGGCGCACGCATCCTGGTTTGGACACCCCTGGCACGCCGACGCCTTGCCGGCGTTTTCGGACTCTGTGCCCGGGCAGTGTTCGGGAGCATTTTCGGGTACCTGGTCTGGCAGAGCGCGCGCGATGGCCTCGGGTGCCAGGGCGGTGGTGGACGTCGCAGCCACGTTGGAGGTCGAGTTGACCTCGTGCAGGAGGCCGTTGGGCGCGGGCGGCTGGCTCTGTACCGCCAGCATCGTGGACAGGCGGCGAGCTTGTCGAGCGTGAATGTAGTGTGTGTACGAGGCTGCTGTGTGTGTGCGAAACGGGGCAGCAGGATGTGAAAGGATGAGGAGTCGGACGTGTGGCCGTGGTGGTGATGGCGGTGGCGGCGGTGAGGTGGCTGAGTCGAAGGTCGAGAAGCAGGTGGCGAGGGTCGGGTCTTGACTCAGGCGGCCTCTCTGGCCCACTCCCGAGTTCCACGCAGCTCGACCTCCGGTGGCCGCCGGGCTTATCGCCGAGACTCTCGGCCGGTAGAGCCACCAATGTGCAACAGCCTACATGCCCGATCACCGATCCGTCGGCCTGGCAGGTGTCGCTCGCTCGTCGAGCGCAACACCGGTCGTCGTGCTCGGGCAGCTTCGACGCTGCATCGTCGCTCGGGCAGCTTAGCGTCGGCCGTCTGCTCTGCCCCTATATCCGTATGTCAAGGGAGAAGCTGCAGTCGGGCGGGACAAGGGGCCTGCGGAGCGCGGTGGCCGACCCAGCTCGATGGAACGTCATGGTGCCCGCCCAACCTGGCTGGCCGCCTCCGCTCGGCTTGGCCTGCAGTTCAAAGCAAGGTTGGCCCCCGCCGCTTGCCCCTTGTCGCTTTACTAGAGCCAGGGCATTTTCGGGCAATTGGAACCCTGCCAGGCTTTTTTTCGCGGTTCAAAATCGATTTGTATTCCACGACTTCCAAGCTCAGCGCCAGACAGAGGGAGCGAAGAGGAAGAGGCCGGGCCCCTGCTCGCCAGGCCAGGCCAGGCCAGCCCAAGCCAGGCTGACCACAGCAGGCAGGCAGGCGGCCGGGCTGGCTGCTGAGGTTGGGTGAGTGTGGGCGGGCCAGGGGGGCTTGGGCTTCTGCGCACCAGCGCAGGCCCTGGCCGCCAGCCCGCGTGTGTGTTGGGTCTGGCCAGCCCAAGTCCAGCCGGGCGAATCGACATCATTTCCCGGGGGCGCTCTCTCACGTCTCCACCACCACCACCGCCGCCGCCGTCACCCAGCACCGACTCACACAACCTCCAGGCACAGCTAGTCCGGCATCAGAACTCAAGTCCTCTCGAGGCCGGCTCCTACATTTTTCATACCACCCGCTCACCAAGGCACATCCGTATCTGGCGCCGTTGCGACCGAGGACAGACTGTGAGTATCCCCCAGCTTCGCTGGGTGGACAGCTACGGGCGAGGCCGCCGAGCCATGGCGCACAGCGAGTGGCGCCTCGCTGGCTGTCCTCGCGTATCCAGGCGTCTGCCCGTGGGCCACAGCGCGGGCAGGGGCCCCTCAGCACCCGTAGCGGCCGGAGCATACGACCAGGTACCGGAGCTGGGTCCTGCATTCGCCCTATGTCCGAGCGCGATTGCCTCAGGACCTGCTCGACCGGTTCACTGGCCAGGTCGAGTCTCAACCCGTTCGTCCTTCAGTGACAGGAACTCGTTGGCTCTGCCCCGAAGTGCGCATATGCCACTTCCTCGCCTCTGCACGCCGCTACGCCACCCGTCCGCCCTGACACGACCTGGAAGCCGCTTTTCATCCTGGTCACGGCGCGCATGCTGACATTCTCTGTACCTTCCCCTCTCTCGAACTTGCTGCTCCGACAGCAAAATGGCTCTCAAGCGCATTAACAAGGTGAGCATCGTCGCTCCGTCCGACCAGAGCGCTCGCCGAGTCCGCTGGAAATCGAGCGCATACATCGGCCGCGCTCCGCCGCAGCCCCGCAATGGCGCGTGCGAACTCATTGCTGATGTTCCACCGCTCCCTCCCTTCCTCTGATCCCTTCCGATGCCGCTTCAATAGGAGCTCATGGACCTCGGACGAGACCCTCCCTCGTCGTGCAGCGCGGGTCCTACGGGAGACAACATGTTCAACTGGCAGGCGACGATCATGGGCCCGGGAGACTCGCCATACTCGGGCGGCGTCTTCTTCCTCAACATCACGTTCCCCACCGACTACCCGTTCAAGCCGCCCAAGGTCTCGTTCACCACCAAGATCTACCACCCCAACATCAACAGCAACGGCAGCATCTGCCTCGACATCCTCAGGGATCAGTGGAGCCCGGCGTTGACCATCTCGAAAGGTGGGTGCCGAGCAGGCGGAAGGCGGAAGCGCTGCGCCGAGCCGACGCTGTCGCCCGTACCCTCGCCTTGCCGCAACGTTGCTGACCGATCGATGTCCTCGTCCTCTACACCTGTCCCTGCCGCCATCCAGTCCTGCTTTCGATCTGCTCGATGCTGACGGGTGAGTGCAGCTCCTCTGAGCTCCGTGCGCCAGCCTCGCTCCTTCCTTGTTGCAAAAGTTCCAATTGACTCACCATGCTCCGCCTTTATCCCTTGCTCAATCTACCGCGACAGACCCGAACCCCGACGACCCGCTGGTCCCCGAGATCGCCCACCTCTACAAGACGGACAGGCAGCGATACGAGAGCACGGCCAGGGAGTGGACGAGGAAGTGAGTACGAACGAGCCCGCTGCACCAGGGTCATGACGCCGGTTGCCTGGACCACCGCTGACCCTTCTCCGAGCTTTATTTGGCCGCTCACCACCTGCACAGGTACGCCATGTAAACCGTGTCGACCGCGACATGTAGCGATCCGCACCCGGCTGACGATGACGACGAATGTAGCGCCCGACGGCCGACGAAAGAAAAGGTCGGGGGCAGGGATGCTGCAGCGGTAGCCTGGCCTCGTCGGAGTCGATTTCTCGAGCCAATATCGAAAGCGCCTTTCCTCCGTCGTCATGAGCCTCGCCTCCCTTTGTGTGCGATGTCGAACTCCGTGGTGGGGCTCGTCGCCTCGGGGTCGGAGGTTCTGCCTGTGTGTGTGCGTGTTTGTGCGTGTGTTGTGTGTGCATGCGTCGATGTTGAGCCCGGCGCCCAGAGAGTAGAAATAGGAGTGGATTGAAGCTGCTCGCCGCGAGCTGGCCGGTGGCCTCAAGCGAGCACCCTGCCTGCCTGTTTCGAGGTCGAAGCGCGGATCCGAATTTTCACGCTCGCGGCCGCGGTCTGCTGCGCCTGGCCTACTGGCCTGCTGTACGTAGGCCTGACCGGCTGGCTCGTCGCTTGTCTGCGCCTCTCTCGGTCTCGCTCCATCACATCCTCAGCCTCGCTGCCCTCCCTCCTCACAACACATCCGGTCCATCCTCAGCACGCCACATCCACCAATCTCGGTCCAGTCCACATTCACACCGCACCACGTCTCGAATCGACCGGATCGAGGGCCCATCACGCCTGCACCCTTCCACCGCACCGCTGCTTCGCCTCTTCTAATCAGCCACAACCCGCCAACGAGGTCGCCCTCCCCCACTCACATTCCCGCCAACGTCACCGCCAGACCCTGAACTCCACGGTCCGCCTCCATCCGCATCACACCGACACCTCGCCGGGACCAACACACGTCGGGACGAGCTTCGGGCGGATTCGGGCCCAGAGTGTCCTGGCCCAGTCCCCCCGCGGAATGGACAGCGCAGGCTCGACGGCCGACTCGACACGCCCAGCCCTTCCATCCACCTCGACTACCCACGCATCCTCCTCGTCCTCTTCCGGGCATGGAGAGCAGCCTCGACACCAGAATGGTAACGGCAGACATGACGACCGCCGTCCCCAGAACGGCACCAATCACGCCAACGGGGGCAGAGCAGGCAACGCGGCCAGCGATGATGAGGAGGAGGAGGGTATGCTCCATGTAACGGAGGAGGGTCAGATTGAGGAAGAGGTCAGCCGCGACCCTGTCAGTAACGGCAGCCTCGCCGGCCGTCTCCAGCCGCTGCCCGACAAAGGGCCGACCGAACCACCTCCGCCATCCCATCGACGACTCACCTCCGACAAGTCCAAGGGCGGGCCGCGTGCCAGGGCGGGCGTCTCTCGACATGGCTCTCCTCGTGCGCCCGTCGTCCCGTACCCTGATCGCGGCGACCGCTTCTACGAGGCATCGCCGGCTCCCTCGACCTACAGCGCATCGAGGCAGCGCTTCTCGTACGCTGGCGAAAGCGCCTCGGTGTCCTCCCCCACCTCGGCCATCCCGCCCTACTCGCCCGGCGCCTACGCATACGGAGCCCCGCATCGCGACCGCGATCCAACAAGGAGCGATTCTTACGCTCCTCCGACGAGATCGAGCTTCGGCGGGAGTGTTTCATCATCCAGAGCCGAACCGCTTCCGTCCAGGCGTGGTGGTGGCGGTCCAGCAGGAGTTGGCGGTGGCGGCGGCTACGCTAGTCCTGCCGCTGCCGCAAGAGCGCCAGATACCTACCGCCCCGGCGCAGCAGCAGCGGCAGCGTCCGCTGCCGCCATCAGGGACAGGGATCGGGACTGGGACTGGGAACGCGAGCGCGATCGTGATTGGAGCGTCGAGCGGGAGCGGGACGCGTATCGATACCGCGAGCTGGAGCGGGAGAGGGAGTGGGAGCGCGAGCGAAGCCGCGCGGCGATGCTCTCCTCTTCGGCCGCCGCCTACGATCCTCTCATCGAGCCCGTGGCTGGACATCCGGCCTACGCGGCGGCGTCCAAGTACGGACCGGATCGCCTCGACTATCCTCCGCACGCTCTGGCTCCGCCTGGGCGGGAACGGGACCGGGACTACGATCGGGACTGGGACTACGAGCGGGACTGGGACCGGGATAGGGATCGGGAGCGCGACAGCCTCCGTGAGAGGGAGAGGGACAGGGAGAGGGATAGGGATAGGGACAGGGAGAGGGATGTGCAGCGGGATCGCCTCCCGCCGCGGGACCAGCGGACGTGGGGTGCCGTCAACGCTCAGCCTCCAGCTTCGACGGGCTGGCGGCAGTGGGGCAGCAAATCGTCCGACAGCGGCCGTGGCGACCAAAAGGAGCGACGTCCGGGCGACAACGATGCAGCGTCTCTAGACGCGGGACGTGCAGCATCTGCCAAGTGAGTTTCCCCCTTGTTCTCGCTCTGGTCGCCGCGCTTGGGCTTTGGCTGACCTCTTCTTGCCTGCGCCTTCCTTCCTGCCTCTCCTCAAAACAGATCGCGATCTTCTCCCTCTTCCCGGGGCAACGACGCCGACAGCCGTGCACCCGCATCCAACGCCTCTGGACCGCGATCCGACAAGGGCGATGACCGGGCGTCTTCACCTTCAGCCATAAAGTCACCGCCTCAAACCGCATCGACGAAGCCGGCTCCGACCGCACCTTCTGTGCCAACGGCCACATCGGGCGAGCAGGATCAGGACAGGCGGGCTCCGAGCCCTGCAAACTCGCATCGATCCGCAAAGGACTTGGATGCTGGATCCGGCCCCCGATCTTCTCCGCCGCAAGTAAAGGAACCTCGACTGGCAACTGCGGAAGTCAAGGCGGAGAACGTAGCGGAGCAGCCCGCGTCAGAGGGATCGCAGAAGGCATCGAACGAACCTTTGTCGTCGATCGCGCAGGACGGAAACGACAAACGAGAACAAGCTCTAGCACACCTGGCTGATTCCTCTCTCGCCGCGCAGCCGAGCGCCTCCGAGACTGAGCCAGCCAATAGCTCGACGAGCATCGCAGAGGATGTGGCGTCGGACAAGCTCGCTCAGAGCAAGCCCGAGAGCTCGACAGCTTCAGCGTCCACGGAGGACGAGCAGAAGTCGACAGAATCCGCGGACGCTGGCGAAGGGGATGCGGCAGTGACAGCGCTTGCGAACGTAGGCGCTACCGAGGACGTCACCATGGCCGAGGTCACGACGGACGAGCCGCAGAGTCTCGCGCCAGACTCGAAGGCCACGGAGCAGCACCTCGAAGGCGCCCAGTCTCCCAAGCCTACGGCCGATGCCGTAGATTCCTTCGCGAACGAGGAGGACCTCGAGACTAAGGAGCAAGGCAGTTCCCTTCCTCCTAGCCGCGAGCTCGAGAAGCCGGGCGCCGAGGAGCGGCGGAGCACTGACGCCAAAAGCCAAGCAGCAGAACCTGCCTCGATCGGGCTCGATGCGATTGACGTAGTCAGGAGGGATTCTCCTGGCTCTCGCGCCGTCGAACAACAGGTTCCGGCGCCGCAGGATGCATCCGCCGACAACGAGGTCATGGCATCCGATGGGGTTCGCGACGAGGCGGACAAGAAGGCAGCGGCTCAGGGAGGGAACGACGCGCTTCAGTCCGCCAATGTCGGAGAAGGCACCGTGGCCTCGCGCGACGCAGCGCCAGCGCCATTGGTCGCGGTGGAGGTCTCTCTTCCACCCTCGGCTCCAGTCGAGCCAAAGAGCGACGCGGACGGCGACGCTGATGCGGCTGTCGTCAAAGACGGCGAGCTCACGGGCATGGAAGACGTCAAAGCCCCCGAAGCTCGCGACAAGCCCAGGCAGGACGGCGACGCTCCTGCTCCAGAAGCGCCGCGGGAGCCGATGCCCAGCTCAAGCCACGTCGCGCTTCCACACAGCTCGAGCATCGCCGAGGTCACGGATCTGCCTTCGATCGAGCGGTACACTCAAGAAGAGGTGGCCGAGGCAAAGGCTTTAGCTGCCAAGCGGGAGGCAGGGCCGGACGCAAAGGAGCAGGCGCACGACGACACCGACAAAGAGGTTCGCGACCCTGTGCCACTGCCGACGGAGATCAAGTCCGTCGAAAGTCCGCCGAAAGAGGTTTCTGCCGCAGCTCCTGCTGAAGCTGCCCCGGAAGGCCCCGAGCCAAGCGCAGTGGAGGCGGTCAGGAACAGCGACGGCACCTCCGCTGTAGTGCGCAATCAAGAAGCGGCTACCGGTGCTTCTGCAAGCGCTGCTCCCGTCCCATCTGCGCCGGATATCAAGCAGGAAGCTGGAGCGGTCGCGGATGTCGAGATGGCCCCGGCTGAACCGCTTCCAGCTATCGAACGACAGGCCTCGCCTGAGCGCGCGGCAATGGATGAGGACACCGCAGTGCCACCAGCAAGTGGTCCGCCTGCTGCAGCGGAGTTAACTGTCGCACCGTCCAAGCCAGATGGTCCGACTGAAGACACCCTCCCGGCCGCCAAGGCAAAGGACGAGCGCGGCGGCGAAATCGATTCTACATCCGCAGGCACACAAGCTGGATCGACGGCCGAGCCGACCCTTCCTCCTCGTCCTGCCCTGGCCGAGACCCGAAAAGACCAGGAGACGGCTTCGCCGGAAGAGGGTGGTGGGATTGACGTCGCAGGACGGGAGCGGCCCAAGACCAAAGCCGACAAGGCGATGAGGGTCCCACATCCCGAGGATGCCGGGCTGATCCCCGTCAATCCGGCTTTGGAGCTCAGAGCCGAAGTTGAGCAGGCCGAGGCTGTCGAGAGCGTGCAAAAGGCGGCGCGCGGGCGCCTTCCAGCGTTGCAGCTGCGTGGTCTGCACGACGGGTCCGCTGTTGAGCTCGAAGCGCCGCTCTTCACGCCGCGCACCGAAGAGGAGAGGCAGAAGGCCTCGAGACGGCTCGCTCTCCAGATCCTCTCGGAGCAGCGCATCAGCGAGCGCGACTGCAGGGTCGTCATTCGCGAGAACCAGGAACTCTCGCGCAAGACGACGCTCGACCAGCTCCACGCCGCCGTCCACGGGGTGCCACTCAGCGTCAGCGAGGGCAAGCCGCTGTGGAGGGACGAGGACGACAAGTCGTTTGCACGCACCCACGCAAAGCTGATGGACCAGCTGCTCGCCAAGCGCAGACGGCTCAATGCCAAGGTCGACCGCCTCAAGCAGCAGTACCGCACTATCAACGAAGAATGGCAGGTCCACTGCGCACGGCTCGACCGCATCATCGAGCGGCGCGAGCTGCAGAGGCGTCCCCTCGTCAGCACGCCCCAGACCCCGGCCGGTGTCGCCCCCGACGATGCGGGCAGCGGCATGCTGAGCAACAATGTCATGATGAGCCGCACCAATCGCCGCGGCCAGCAGGCCGGCTTCGCGGGGTTTGGCGACGCGGTGCGGTCCGAGGCCGAGTTCCTCGAGATCCTGGCCTCGCTCGAAAACGCCGATATGCAGGACCCCAGCATGCGCGCGGCGCGGACGACGGCGACGGTGCCCGACATGGAGCTGGACCCGGACAGCGACCAGCCGGTCAAGCTCGACTACGACGACTCCAACGGCTTCGTCGCCGATCCGGTGGGCTTCTACCTCTCGGACTTTGACCCGGATGTCTGGTCTGAAGAGGAGAAGGCCATCTTTGCCCGGCGCTACGCGCTGTGGCCAAAGCAGTTTGGCAAGATCGCCCAGGCGCTGCCGCACAAGACGCCGGGCCAGTGCGTCGTCTACTATTACCTCAACAAGAAGGCGCCGGGCAACGACTTCAAGGCGCTGGCTGCGGCGCGCAACCGGGAGCGGAAACGCAAGACGCGCGTCAAGCCCAAGAAGGCCAAGGGCAGCGCGCTCATGGCCGACCTCAAGTCGGCCAAGGGCGACGAGCTCGACGACGACGACGCCGGCCCGCCGTCCCCGACCGAGCCGGGCGAGTCGGCCAAGGCAGACGTTGCCGCGCCTGCGACCGCCAACCCGTCTCGCCGCGGCGGCACGCGGCCCAAGATGACGGCTGCTCCAATCGACGGGGGGCAAGGCGCTGGTGGCGACGATGGTGCCGCAGCGGCGGGCACCAGTGCTGGCAAGAAGAGGTCGGCCACGGACGACGCAGTCGATGCTGATCAGCAGGAGACTCGTCCGTCGGACAAGAAGAAGTCGGGTTCCAAGGCGAAGCGCGCCAAGACAGAGGCGGGCGGCGAAAAGGTGAAGCGAGGCAAGGCGACGGTCAAGCGGGAGAGCACCGCCGAGACGCCATCAGCCGTGGCCGGGACCAAAGTTGCCGGCCCCGCCACAGGGCCTGACGTCTCGTCCGGCGAGGCACACGCGGCGATCCCAGGCCCCAAACATCAGCAGTCGCCAGCGCAGGCGTCGGACACCACGGATGTAGCGAGCGCGGCTCCTGCAGCACCGCCAGTTGGTCCTCAGCACGCAGACAGCGATCTTGCTGCAGCCGAGGCTTTGGGCGCTCTGGCTGGACTGTTTAGCTCGGCGCCTGCGACTTCCGCCGCCACCACCGCAACAGCAGCACCGGCGCCGACGCCGGTGTCAGAGTCCGCCACCCGAGCTGACTCCACCGCCGAGGCAGGGCCCGATGTCTCGATGTCCAACGACTCGGATCTTCAAAAGGCACCCAAGAAACGTCGAGGCGGCGCCGCCGGCAAGAATGGCGTGGTCGAGCTCGGCGAAGGCGGAGAGCCAGTCGCCGTCAAGGTCAAGACGCGGCAGCCGACGTCGTCCTACTGGTCTGTGGCTGAGCGCTCCGAGTTCCTTCGCTCGCTCGCACTGCACGGCAAAAACTGGGATGCCATCGCCTCGGCGCTCTCTCAAAAGTCGGCAGCTCAGGCGCGCAACTACTTTGCACGCAACGCGGCCGAGCCCGACTTTACCGAGGCGGCGATGCTGGCCGAGCAAAACGCAGGCCTCTCCCTCGACGAGAGGATGGACGCCGCCTCCGCTTTCGCCCGCCAGCGCTTCAGCGGCAGCAGTGCCCACGTCAGTGCAAACGCTGCCGCCGCCGCCGCCGCCGCTGCTGCCAGCACAATAGCCCGCGGCCCGTCGCCCATGGGGTCGAGCGGACTGCCAACGCCCGTCACCGCTCCCGAGGTCAATAGGAGCAGCTACTTTGCCACTGTCACGGCGCTGCCCCGCGCCACGTCGGCAGCGCCCATGGGTCAGCCGGCTGCGCCGCGGGTCGTGTCGGGAGGGTCGATCGCTCCCGATTCGCCGCCCCCGTCGGGCTACCGCGGGCTGCAGATCAACAGCCTGCTCAATGAGGAGAGCTTGACCGACCACGACCGAAAGCGACGATCCTCGATCCACGACTGGTTCGGCGATCGCGGCGACGGTGAAGGTGCCGCCATCAACGCCAGCAGCGGCGGTCCTGCGGAACGCTCGGTCCATGGCGACGGTCTCGACCGTATCGGAACAGCGTCCCGCAGCGTCGCAGCAGACGTGGAGCGTCGTCCGCTGACGTCCGACGGCCCGCAGAGCCGCTACGTCCCCGCCGGCGAGCTCGCAGCGACGGCCAAGCGTTACGAGGCGTTCGGCGTCCAACGTCAGCCGAGCAGCAGCGCCACCTCTTATGCCGGCATGCCACCGCCCTCGGCGTTCCAGGTGGAGCGGGCTCCGAGCGTATACCCCTCGCGCCATTCAGCTTCGCAGCCTCCCCCGACGGCACAGGCGCAGCAACACCAGCAACACCAGCAACACCAGCAACAGCACCAGCACCAGCAGCAGCAGCAGCAGCAGCACCCGCCTTCGCACCTGCACCGTCCTTCGCCTCCAACCTTGCCGCCGCCATCCGGCGCCCTCGAGGCATTCCCGCCGGCGCCGGCACAGCCGGCACCTCCTTCGAGGTACAGCACGCAGCCAGAGTACCGCACTTCAGAGCCCAGCTTGGCTCACCGATCTGCTCCGCCCCTCTCTCCCCGCGAGGCGTCCGAGCACACGCTGCCGCCAGTCCACGCGGGGCCTGCACGTCCGACCGGCCTCGCCTACGAGCGTGCCTCGTCTGCGGCACCCTCGCATCCGGCATTGCCGCCGTACGGTCGCTATTCGGCCTCGCCCGGTCCCTCGGCCATCTACGCCAGCCATGCTCCCTCGTCGCTGGCGATGCGCGGACGGACGCTACCCGGCGCGGCCTACGCACAGCCCAGCGGCTCGACGACCGATCGATCGCCCGAGGACCTGCACCGGTGGCACCGCACCGTC